TAAATTATCGTTTTTAATCTCTAGACGATAAGGATCAAGTATAGTTACTAAAACTTGAGAATAACTGATCATTTGATTATTTTACCGAGAGTAAAGAAGAATGGGTAGTTTTGCTTTAGAAATAAATCATCAACGTAAGTCTATTAATGTCCCACTACTGGAATACAGGCTTTTCATATAGATGGAACTGATTAGGGAGAATGGGCCATAACCCACTACAAGGCTCCAGTGACTATAGCGGGAGTTAAGGACTGTAGGTGCAGCTGGGACCAACGGCTTAACATGGCGGAGCTCCAGATCAGGTTTTCTCAAAGTGGGATAAACGAAACCATTTTATTTTTTAAAGATTTTCGGTAAGATTTACTTAAATGTGGAATCACCTTGTTTAAAAAACCGTTCTAGATAAAACAATGTTGGTAAACCATCTTCATCTCTTTTCTCAGACTGAATGTGATAACATGTTGGTTAGCCATCTTACGACCGACTCTCTCGTAACCTCTGCATCTTAGACTGAATGTGATAATATCTGCGCCATCGAACTTCTCCAGAAACAAAATAAAAATTAAATAAAATCGAAATTCTCGTTGGCAGAATGTCTGACGATTCATTTTTGCATAAATTACCTAAATTGCCATAAAATAATAAATCATTTTATGGCAATTTAATCAATATACTCGTACCTATACAAACTTGATGTAAGAGTAAGCTACCTTTGATCGGTGATGTGGATTGAGCTACTCGCCTGTTAAATATTTGAGGATTTCCTTATGAAGGTATGTGCCAGGTGAATGCCAGGCATGTGGAAATGTTCAAATTTATTTGATTAACTACTGTTTGCATTAAAATTTTTATAATAAAAGTCACAAATCATATTCGAAAAATTAGTATGACTACTTTTGTAACATAAATTTTAAGACCAAATATATATGAACATAATTTTTGTTTATAATAAAAATACCAATATATATTAAGCATAATAATCTATTTCAAAGCCAGATTGGGTTCACAAAGTTGTTATTAGACAATTTGGTTAGTCAAAATAACGTATAGCTCTTCTTTAATATTGCATTACAATATCTCTCTTTAATAAATAGGTAGGTATAAATATGAATGAAAGTTTCATAAAAATATCGATATATCGAGTTCGATATATATATATATATATATACCTATATGCTGTTAGATGTTAAAATTTTGTACAACTGATATATATTTCATCTTAGGATTTTAATCGATATTATCGATATATTTTGATATTTTTTTGGTGTTGATATAACAATATCGGTTTTCCGATATATCGTTGCATAGGTATAAATTACCGTCATATTAAAGTGCGTTTATCTCCCAACAGACAAAAAAGAATCCTAGATAGTTTTTGTTCTAGATATTTCCACTAGAATAATCAAAAATAAAAATAGGTTCGTATTGAGCTGCGTTATACAACTATTAGCATAACTATAACGATATCGGTTTTCCGATATATCGTTGCATAGGTATAAATTACCGTGATATTACATTGTGTTGATCTCCCAACAGACAAAATAAAATCCTAGATTGTTTTTGTTCTAGATATCTCCACTAGAGTAATCAAAATAAAAATAAGTTCGCCTTGAGCTGCCTTATAAAACTATTAGCATTACTGTGAAAATAAGCACTGTCAACCACAGTGCTAAAAACTCCTTGCTATGCTCTGCGGAGGGGCGAAACACATTTCGTTGTTTTTTGTGAGATTGTTGTCATTTTTAAAATTTATTTTGTTAAATATAACAGGAACCATGGCAATTTGTTTGTGGGCGATACACAGCAGCTCTTGCACATATTGGGTATGTTCCGATATACACTGCGACCACTGTATGACGTCAATTTAGTATACTGGAAGCCCGTTCCTTTATAGCTAGTTATACTGGTGACTTTTTAAAACGGAACGCAGTCCAGTATACTGTTAATCCTATTTTTTGGCGCCATTTTCAAATTTGTTAATGCAAGGTGAATATAAATAAAGATTCCCTCTTTTCAAAAGAAAATATTATAAAATTGTGTTTAAAATAATTATTTATCAATTAAATCCATCTTATAATAAACGTAAGTATTTTTTTTTGTTTATTTAGAAACTTATCATTTTCTGATTCTGTTTCAACTGATCACGTGATCAAAAGCACTGCGATCACCTTACCTCGAAACCTCCAGTGCTCACAATACAAATATGGCGGCAATTTATGACGTCATAAATTTCCCTAGGGTACTGTAGCAGTGTACTGGCAGTCCATAACGGAACGGATTTTTCAGCAGTAAGACCACTGCGCAGTGCTCGCAGTGTATATCGGAACATACCCATTGACTGTGCATGGAAGTTGCTAGATATCATAGTTTCACAGTAATAGCAATGGACGTCCACAAAATAACGCCTGATTCTATTAATAACAACAATTCGTATTTGTCCAAAGTGAATTTTTTTTTCTTATAAAAAATAGATCCCGCGGTTTCAATTATTCATCTATAATAAAACTTATGACTCAATCTATTTCTGTCTGTTTATTGGCAGATTAATTATTATCCAATCAAATGATAATGTCACATCGTATACCTGAGAGATAAGTCAGTTTTATCTCTTGAAAAGCCGGACGTGGTCGTTCTTATATTTTTGCAATTAAGTAATGCAATACATATCACGTGAAGAGTATTTATACTTACAGTTATTAATTCATGGGATCCAACCGTCTCTCTCTAGCCATGACTTTAGCTACAAGATAAGGGTATGTTCCGATATACACTGCGACCACTGAACAGTATGACGTCAATTTAGTATACTGGAAGCCCGTTCCTGTATAGCTAGTAATACTGGTCACTTTTTAAAACGGAACGCAGTCCAGTATACTGTTAATCTTATTTTTTGGCGCCATTTTCAAATTTGTTAATGCAAGGTGAATATAACTATAAAGATTCCCTCTTTTCAAAACAAAATATTATAAAATTGGAAAATTGTACAAAAAAATAATTTATCCATCTTATAATAAACGTAAGTATTTTTTTTTGTTTATTTAGAAACTTATCATTTTCTGATTCTGTTTCGACTGATCACGTGATCAAAAGCACTGCGAGCACCTTACCTCGAAATATCCAGTGCTCACAGTACAAATATGGCGGCAATTTATGACGTCATGAATTTCCCTAGGGTACTGTAGGAGTGTACTGGCAGTCCATAACGGAACGGATTTTTCAGCAGTAAGACCACTGCGCAGTGCTCGCAGTGTATATCGGAACATACCCAAGACATCTTAGCGATGTTAAGGCCATGTTTGATTTTACTATTTTGACATGTTTTTAGATTATTTGGTTAAACTGCTGCAAACTCTATAATCATTAGTTTGTCGATATTAAAGTACATGTACACGACATTTCTAGGACACGACAGTGTCGAGCGAAAGAGTTAAGACGATGGTACTGTTGGTATTATTACAATAGAGTATTTGCCTTTATTATTTTCAATTTACGATAAACGATGAACAGTTATAAACAGATAGACCGACGTGTCTAAATAAAGTCTAAAGAAGAAGTTCTGAACCTTTTTCTTCTATTACGGAAATGCATTTCGTAGATGTAATGTAGAAAATTTACTTTTCCGTGTTTTGTCGGATCTGAATATTGTGTTACTTTCGTTGTTTCAGATTTCCATAATCTAAGTGCTAAAGCACTTACATAATTTACGATCTGAGCAATGTATATGACGCTATCTTTATACTTATTTGTAATTTATTGCTTTCCAAAATTTTACTTATAGAATTTTGTTAATTACGATAATATGTGAAAGTATAAATCAGTCGAAAATAGAACCTCTTTCTTTTTGATTTTTAAATTAAGTGATTTTTGAATAAAAACGCAATCATTTATTGTTTTATCACTACAAGAATGGTTATTTGAGCACTATACCAAGCGGCATCTAGCATAGTGACAATAAATATATTCTATTCCATCCAAAGAGAAGGCCTGAGCCTCAGAAGTGGGAACATTAATAGTCTCGTGCTGATGACAAAATTTTTGAGTTATGAATGTTTGGAAATTTTATATTTTAATGTCAGTATTTCATAATTTAATTGGCACGTTTTTTTTACGTGAGCTTTGTGCAAGAGCTTTATAAGAGTGAGACCTCGTGCGATTGATATACTAACATCCTTTATCTTCAATTGTCTTGATTCCACGTCTCTTCTCGGCGGCATTTATACTGCAAGTGAATCTTCATATTTTCTTAATTTATTGCATGGTAGCTCGGTGGCGTAGTGTTTAAGCGCCTCGGTCTACGCTCATAGTTGTTAAGCGACTTTCGCAAGGATCGGTTGCGGGTGACCAAAAATTATCATCTTGAGCTACTCCGTGCTTCGGAAGGCACGTTAAGCCGTTGGTCCTGGTTGCATTTGCAGTCGCCAATACCCTCTAAACCATATTGGGCCAGCGTGGAGGGTCATAGCCCATCCTCCTTAACCATCCATCAAGATGGCCTGAGCCCCTGCAGTGGGGACGTTTTCAGGACAAGAATGGATATTGAAACATCATTATAATTATATAAATATATTTCCTCATTTTTTACACGGGTTCGTGTCAAATGTAGTAGTTATAACCTTGAAACTATGATTTGAACAACTTCTATACCCAGTCTGTATCTGTAAGACATGCTGTGTACCACCCGCTTTGGAAGGCACGTTAAGCCGTTGATCCTGGTTGCATTTGCAGTCGCTAATAACCTCCAAACCATATTGGGCCAGCGTGGAGGGTTATGGTCCATTCTCCTTAACCATCTTTAAAGAAGGCCTAAGCTCCTGTGACGACGTAAAAGGGCCGATGATGATGGTGATATGTGGTGCGAGGGCGTGAATAATTCGGACCACGCAATTTCGCACCGCTTCGATTCACTTCAGCTGTCGTTGTTTGATGAAAAAGCGTCTCAAGTTCAAGGGTCAGTGTAATATTTTTTTTAAGAGGACTTTTTGAGAGGAGTTTTAGATATGAACATAGGAACTCATTCTCTAGTTTAAGTCGCTTACCATTTTAAATCTTCGTCTTTAAAATTTTAAGGGAAATTCTAATTAAAAATACACGTATAATTGATAATACTTCTGTATTCACTATTGTATAGACATTCTGAAATTGAGTTCGCTAGAAGTTGGCAGTTTTGGTTTCTCGCGTCTCCACAACTTTCTCGTTTTAGCGTTTCCAAATAACCAAAATAATATAGAGAACGCACAATGATAAATCATTATTATGTTAATTATGTTCAGATAAAATGTTACGTAATAATCGATTATTAACAAATGTACTATTTTATATATGTCAATTAAGGTTTGTTGTAAGCTGAAACCGAAAATTAATATAAGCATCACTAAAACTATTTTCACATTATTTTCTGATTTGCTTATATTCGATCGAATGACTGCATTTAATGCTGTTATCAAGAAAATGGCGTTAGCACACAACACTGGCCATTTCAATAAAAGTAAATACAGTAAGAAAAACAACAATTCCCTATCGGTTTGCATTGTAAAAGAGATCCATAATAACGCAGTCACAAATGCTGGTATAAGCCAAGTACCCAACGATACCTTCCATAAAGGCGACTCGGATGTATTGAACACTTTTACTAGAGAATCGTTCAATTTCATGCTAAATATGAACATCCAACAGATCAGAGCATATTCTGTGTACACTAAGCATATAAAGTCGAGATACAAGACACAACGAGCTTCATGTGCGTAAAAATGATTTCTAAAGTCTATGATGTACCTCACGGTTATATAAAATATCCTCGCGATCATAAATTGTATGAGAAGTTGATTCTTCCTGCTTTCTCTCCATTCTTTGAAGAGAACCGCTGTCATTATCAACATAATGAATGCGATAATCGATATCAATAATCCAACAGAACTGCCGATTAACGTCGAAACTGATACAGTCGAATTTTCATTTTTTCCGAAAATCACCGCTCCTGGATCACTGCAGTATTGATTGTTGATAATTGACATCTTCTGTGTCTAAATTGTTATAAATATTGCACTTTTTAATATTTGCACAGTTTTTGTTGAAATGTAAACACATATTGAGGACGTCAACACAGTTTTTTGATATAACTTTCATGATAAGTAACTTACTTATCTTTCTACTTATAAAATAATGTTTACACTGTTTAAAGTTATAGGTACTTGAAACATTGTCACTGGTTCAACACTTAATTAAAGTAATAATATGTGTTCGGCACGTGTCTCTACTTGGCGAATGTGCTCATGTCTAATGAACGCCAATGGCATTATCGTCGAGCGATTAGATTGCAATTTTAATATAAAGAGAAAAATAATAATCTCAACAATAATTACTGATAATAGTACTTGTTTTGGTAATGTTATTTTACAACTTCTCTTCGATTACTTGACCAGTTGATTATTTTTTTTGTAAATGCTTTCCTTTAACAGAAAATTTTAAATATATATTTTTTCGTAAATTTCGGTCATTTACCTCAACTCGTTTAGTCCATAGTGTCCCTGAAATATTTTCCCTAGTTAAAATACCTATCCAAGTGTACTACTGTAAATAAATGTGCTTATCATATTAATAAGCGTATTGTCATCGGCATTATCAGAAATAAAAGTGTTAAGTAATGCTTAAAAAATATGTTTTATTTATAGCTGTATTTTTAACTTAGAGTATTTAAATGTATATACTTGGATAAGTATTGCTCTTAAGGGAAATACTTCAGAGGCAATAATCTGTTGCTACAATAGCATGTTATTTGTCCTATAACATAAATTGGGAATAATTCTAGATCATTCTTTATGATTTCGCTAAAATCTAATTCGTGAAGATGATAAGTGACGGGCTCTGTATTCGTTGATTTATAAATTATAGAAAAATGCATTTCTTTGACGACGTGTTAGCATTTCGAAATAGACGAAATTTCGTTATCGGAAAAATGTATGAATTCGTATGAATAGTAAACCGTTCGTTGGTTGTTTCTATTGTAAGGCTCATCAATCGTGATAAGTTCCGAGTTGTGTCAACTTTAATTGGGTGAATTTGCCTGTTAGGTAACATGGTGGTGGTACTGGTGATATCACACACTTATTTACCTTATATTAGCTGTTATCCCACGTTCCGTATAAATTATAGCCATAGCGGGAGACATATACTCGCGAATGTTGGAATTTTAAACAGGTGAAAGAATTTATAAAAGCGATCCAGTTGTTTTGGTGCCTATTAAATATTTCCTTTTCATTTTACTGATAATTTAAGGTTAATAAAACAAGTTATAAGAAACACAGAGAATATATTTTCAGATATAATACCACGACAGGTCAAAAATAAAACTCACACGTGTGAGGAATAAGAAACGATAAATATTATAAAACTCTATACAAATAGTTAACAAGGTGATAGTCTAACGATTACAAATAAACTTATTTCATAGTCTGACTACAACATTTATTCACTTTGGGGGCAAAGCTTGCGTAGCCTAGTTCGAAAATAGAAGCGAACACTGGTGAAAGTCAGGAAATATTATATATGTAAATTGCAAATTAGGCAGTTGTTTTTCCAACTTCTTTTTAGTTTCCAAAATACCTTTTTTCAGTTGAAATTGGAAAGCTATTATAAGTCTTTAACGAACTATTTTAATTAAGACAAATAAAGGTATTGAGAAAACCAAAATGAACTAACGATACAGATTAAAAAATTGATGTTTTGTCATAAACACAAAATATTAGGATAGAATATGGACATTTTCATTGATAAAATATAGTTATTAAATCAATCTTAACAAGGTACTTTTTAGATAGCGCATGCAAAAATAAAGAAACATTGTAAGCTGAACCACGACGGTCTTATTAAAAACGAGGACTTGCTTCAAACCTTATTCTTCTTCTTTTTTAATTCATGGCCTATTTGTGTTTACACGATTCCGCCAATGTCACGTTGGTGGTCTTTACACGTCAATTGGCCGCCTAAATGAAATGATAGAAGTGAAAACTTCGTTTTGAGCCGAATAATGGTCGAAATACTAAAGTTAGTCTCTGTCTTATAGTATAATAGTATAGGTTTAACACTGGGTTATAATGGAAGGACAGTTGCATTTGACGAAATCAAGTGCAACGATTAGGTGCGCACGTAATTACACGACCGAACGGCTTTCGTCATTGGCGTACATCGTAATTGGTACGTTGATATGGCTGTTCGGTCACTGATCATGAATTGAGTTGAAATGTCAGTCGCTAATTGAATCCTTCTTGCTATAGATATAAAAAAGGTTTATTTGGTTTAGATGTGGTTTAGAATATTAATAAACACTAATTAAAGTCGAAAAACTAAGCCATATCGGTTCGTATATTGAAGGCTTTGTATCGAGAAGAACCGGCTAGGAATTCGGCAGAGGCTATTTTTTTCCCTACTAAATTTCATTTAGATTAGTCACACTGAAAATTGACTTAAAGAATATGAAGTCACCTTACATTACAATATATGACAGTTGATAACTTGCCCCCTATCCCAAATTCATTGTTTATATATTTTATTGAGAAGCATGACATACACGTATGACCATTATTAAATTTACAGAAGAGAATTCAGTCGTCTAAAATTTTTCACTACGTGTGCTCTCTACTTATAAATTATTATTGCGTTCACTAATTTAACATCTAATACCAACTTTAATGAACATTTCTACACATTAAATTATCTAATACACTTCTTGTGTAATGGAAACAAGCTTTGTTGCGTGTGTTACTATTAGTGGCTAAGCGACTCTTGCTAATTACTAATATTCAATATTATTTATTATGGAAATCACAAAAATATTGAAAGTAGATTATGATTCTATTTAAATTGTAACTTAATTGTGTTGAATAAAAACAGAATTCTATTTTCTTTATACACGACAAGAACAGCTTTGATAAATCAATGTAACTTCACTCAGTTTTCATAGACTCTGACGATCATAATATTAAAAAACACAAGATATGTATTTGAACATTCACCGCACCAAATAAATTTCTAATGAGAACTACCACAGAGATTTTGAAAAAACATATTCGTCTAATCTCTATATAACCTTTATGGGACAGAGATTAGTGATTATTTACTAATGTTGTAAGACATCTAAATCCCTTGTAAAAGGGTCATATAAAAGTGTCAACGTTCGAGTTAATACACTTACAATTAAGATATTATTCCTATAATTATTAGGATCTCTATTGATTATTTTGAGTACTTATATAGAAGTCTTTATAGGGGATCACAGTTTGGAAAACACTAGTCAAACACTATTAGGGGATATTATGTCCATTAATTTTAAGGGGAAATATAAAATTATAAAGATTACATCTCATTTTAGATGTGGAAAATTTTAAAAATATAAAAATCATATAGTTTAAAATTTTGCTATTTAGACATAATTTCCACCAATAAATGTTTTAATTGAAGATTTAGGTACACTTTACGCTATATTATTAATATTTTTTTATTATTCCTATTAACTATATTTCTAAAACAATAACTAAAATATTATGTCGATTTTATAAAGTAAGTACAAACAACACAGTATTTATGTTGGAGTGGCAATAAACGCGCAGTGAGTAAGCAATGTGAATTTTAAATTAACATTAATATATTTTGTCTTTAAATTTTACCACATATTGGTTATTAATAGTTCGTTATATAAAAGTTCACCGTAAAGGAAATAATTTCAAGATGTTATCACAAAAGTTTATGCAAACCGCATGCATATTATGTGGAAGCGACCAGACAATTTTCGTTTGGAATTCATTATTTTTAAAACATTTGCATATAAGACAAACATATATGTGTTTTCTGACTGTGAAGTTCTTGTTGTAAAAAAAACCCAAAATACTAAAGGCTAGTTTAGTTTTAAGATAAGTTAACCTTAAATAGGTATACTAAAATACAATATATACGTAAGGTCAAATCACGAGCGATGAGTATTGAGAGAAAGTAAACTGCATTAAATTATTCCAAAACACATATGGGATAGACTCGTCTGGTTAGTTATAATATTATTTAATACTTCTTTTAGTTATTATGATTGACTAGGATTTTTGCGTAATCGCACTCGTGCGGTGCTTACAGCTTATTAGACTAATGCCGTATATTTTCGTAGTTATTAAGTCGATATGTGAACTGATGAAATGTCTTTAAAAATGTTTTATTTATACTTTTTAATTAGATTATAAAATTTGGAAGCATATATTGGTGTGGTTGTAAAATTATACAAACAACTTTGTTATGCGTATCCGCATGCATGCATAATTTGGATGTCCGCATATGGCTACCTGCGAGCTTGAAACTATTAGTGACAAACGAATGAACTACGATTTAACGCACGCGTTTTATGACGCGTTTTCTTCAGTGCGTTCTTATTTATAGATGTAAAATCTAATTAAACATTTAAAGTAGTAGTTTACTCATTACTCACTGCTCATGGCTACCTATACATGTCTACAATTTAATTTTAAGATGTTATCTCATGTTGCTAAATGTAACTTTCCTCAGCGGGGTGGCCTCTATTTCCTTACAAAGTCTATAAGAAGACCCGCATCTTGCTTCAACTCTTAATAATACACAAATATTTACCATAAACTATCCGTGAACGTTGTTTGGAAGTGACAGCATTTATCATATCATCTCTAAATATAGGTTAGCGTGTACATCATTGTTTAGTGTTTCAATTCGTATTTCTTAAATTAGAAGCGAAGATCACTAGACGAAAATCCCTAATACATAAAAGCTACGTCTAGAAGATCACATTGCAAGAGGCTGGAGTTCTAAGAATAAGTCACAATAATTTATATACAAAGAATACTTATGAATTGTTATTACTAATCTTCTGTTTCTATTTAAAAAAAACTGGATGCTTAGGCAATAGCACGTATAGTTCAAGAAAAAATATATAAAACCAGATTGTAAAAAAAGTTTAATATGCAATACAAATGTGACTTTTATTTTTAAATGTCCGTTGTAGTTTAAACATTAGTACTATATTGTATAACGGAAGAATAAAAAACAGGTGATTAGTAATAATAATTATATTAAATCATTAATCTATATTAACAAAGTAATAAACATTGGCATTAAAATATTAAAATGACCACCGTTAAAATTAAACAATTACTTAATTTGATTTAAAAATATTTACCTAATTAATAAACGAGAACACAACGTTAACGTAAAAATAATAAAATTTTAGCGAACACAAAATTTTTGAGACCTGCTCATTAAAATACGAAATAATAACTTAATTAACTAATGAGGTAAATATAAACATTTTAAAAATAAATATCTATGTCTTACGTAGTCGATGATTTCTTCACTCAACCATGTGTTCTGATGAAAAAAAAATTAAATTACTATACATAATGCCAATGTACACTAAAACATAACTCATGCAACCGAGTCATCACCCTTAAAATCAAACTCTAAACCTTAAGGCGAGATTTTACGAAATGACTACCTTGTTATCCGATTTTATTCTAAGGCTATGCTAATTTTTTTCAAATAAAAATAATTTTATGAAAATTAAACATATAGTTGATTAACTACTTATAATACCCGATATTATAAGTACTTAATAATGCAGCGCGATCGTTTAAATATGGTTGATTGTTTGCAAGAAAACAGAAATAAATTTCAATAATTGACTCGGTAGTAAAAAAGTCACAAAATGACTTTAAATATATTATTGGATCGATTTTACGAGTAATATATTTCGTCTTAACTATATAAAAAATACATACAAAAATAGTTTTTATGTAATCTAAAATTATTTTTTATTAATGTGCATCTACTTTTTTTTCTGTGATAAAAATGTGTGAAATCAAGCGAGTCCATTTTTACTCTCGATGCGTAATTGTTAACGTATCTGTATGAGAACGTAAGCGAAGGTAAAGAAGTCCCTTAAGAGCAGATCTATCGCAATATAAGCAGGGCAATAGGGTAAGGATGCCGAATATGAGATAGTCGCCAAATATGAGATAGTTAGGTTTTGGCGAAACTAATCGCCGCAGCCATTTGCCGGTACTGTCCCTAGAAGCCACGTGGTAAAAGATTAAAACGTGTGTTAGTGCTTCCCAGTCCAAGGCGAAGTTAGGTTGTGTACCTACATGTGGGTTTTCACGAAACTCCAAAACCAAATTTTTCTCATTAAATATTTACAAGGTATACTACAACTGTATTAATTACACTGAATGATTTTAATTTACCGTCATTCTATCAATTATATCATGAATTTTACGATACATATGCAGTTTTATTGCATTTTCTTTACTGAGAAATAATGTGCAGCCATTTTGTTGAATGTAGATGTTTTCCTAATATAAGACATGCGAGTGCTCCTAAAATGAGATATCTCGTATTAGGATATTGTTTAATAAGTATGATTTGAAAATCTCTGTGATTATTATGAGTCTGACATAAATCATATCTAAGATTTAGCATAATACTTTTGTTTTTGATACTGTTTAATAAGTGCCATTTGAAAATCACTGTGATTATGATAAGTTGTAATATAAATAATAACTATGTACGTTACATACATATATTAAGTCGTACTCAGACCTATTTATTTAGGAGTATGATTTTGGTAATTAGAGAATATAGCCAATAAAAAGTTTAATTCAAATTAATTTCTTTCCTTTTTCTCTAAATCTATACTCAAACCCTAAAGAACCTAATATGAGATACTGTCTCATATTAGCAACCCTCAGTATCTCATAGGAGACCAATTTGCCTGAGACGCAATTTCGGAACTTCTTAATATTTTTTGATATAATAAAAAATGTATTATACTCAGAACTAAACGGTCTCTCATAAATAAACTTCATTAAATACCCTATCAAATATTGCGATTTTCATAATGATTAGTGCTATAATTTATGTTTTATAGCCAAAAATAAAAATGGTATCTCATATTCGGCATCCTTACCCTACTGTTAATCTTTAAGTTCAGAACAACACTTTTTTTTATTTAAGCTAGACAGATGAAAAATAATCAAATAGAAAGAGTCCTTTGAAACAAAGTCTTTTTAATTTATTTTATTCTTATAGCTTTCAAAAAAAAAGAAAAGATTGTTGAAGAGATAAAAGTGAACCAAACTATTTGTATTACATTATATTTCTTACCTTGCTCTTCAACGGGTGTGTGTTCCTCATCAGATGAATCGAATCTCTCAATTAAAGAGCTTTGTTTTGAAAGCGACTGTAATAAATCAGGAGTTATGAGTTTAAAGTAGAAACAAATATACACAAAATGTGTCACCTAGCGAAAACGAAAATATGTACTATAAAATGTCGAGATTGGGTCCATGAGAACTGCCCTGTACGCATAGAATGACATGAGAATTTTTAGTCTACACCCAAATGTCACTTTTGGGTGCGCTCATACGATATTTCACTCTCGACCCGGGAAATGTGACATTTGGGGTAGAAAAAGCGTTAATCTAGTTTGTCATGGTACACGTGCTGGCGGTATTTCTTTCAGAAAATTTTACTTAGTACTTGAGTACTTAAGGAACATAGACCTCGTTTGTAAATACCCCATGATTCCCGTTAAACCCAATATATGTTCGTATTTACCCATAAGACTACGGGTAATTACAGTTAGATAAGATGTTGATTGATTGATCTAGATGACGATAAAAATTAAAGTTGACTTAATTAATGTTTAATTTAAGTTCAATGGGCAATAAAAACAGACTGATTATTGATAATAATAAAAATTTTAGAAGTTATTTCGCTACAGCGTCCACAATTCTCCCATCTTTCCTTATATATAACCTTAAGGAGCATATTAACAAAGTTAATAGATCTTTTAAAGTTTTAAACGAATATATCAATTTTTTTTTAAATATTTAAAAACAAAAATGTGTTTTCCTTATAATGATCTAAAGTGGTCTCATATTTCGTCAATAAAATACATAGTTCAAACTGATCCTACCTTATTGGATCGGCGCCTAGGGGGAGATATTTTGTTCCATAATGCTTCTAGTTGATCGAAATGTTGTGACTGCGCTATGGCTGCTTCTTCAGGTCCTAAGCTCACCTTTAGAGATAAATTATAATATGCATTGCCACTGATATTATAATAACACGATACTGTTGAGAAACTGAAGATGGTTTTGTGTAATTAACATGACAGCTGAGGGCCTATTTTCGTTGCCCACAAACGAGAATTTGGAAAATTTTAAAATCATAAAATCGTTTCATTAAAATCATATCGGTGAAGATTTATCTGTGCATCCGAAGCCGTATCAGCTTCTACCTCCGTTGCATCATAAAATGCGTTTATTTGGAGTCGTATTACCACTTCAAAAATAGAAGAAAATCCATTTTCGGATAAATAGAATAGGTATTCAGGTGTTATGTAGACGCTAAGCTACATACAATAAGCTACATGATATGTATTTTATGTCCCATATTATTCGTGTTTTAATATGCTAAATTAATGATATTTATATTAGAATATGAATATACATTATTTATACAAAACTTTCATTAAGCCTTATTCTTTATTATGTATCTGGCATTATCATATACCTGGGAACCTAAATCCTTATTTTTAGCCTCTTGGATTTTCGAAATTTCCTCCATAGACGCCGATACCGAAAACCTGCAAAGAATTAAATATATTAATGATTTATTACGAGATACACAATTTCTATAACATAAAATTCTATAGAATACATTCGAGAATTTCGATGGAACAGTGTTTAGTGTTTACTTTTGTGATTATAGATTAAGCTACGATAGCAAAGTCATTGCAGTTGGATGACCAAAATGTTTTGGAGATCCCATTTAACCGTTAATCTTAGCTGCATTAGTAGTTATTGCAATCAACCAATGCGCAGTGTCCATGTGTTGGATAATGACCAGTGATCGGAGAGGATATATTGATTCCTGGTACATTTATCATAAATGCTCATAGAAAGAATGATATGGATAAGAAATTACGGAAACTGTTTCTGGATTCAAATGAATATTATTTATGTTGATACTTTGGTATTGATATAATTCTAAGTTAATCCAAAATTGAAAGCAAAATATCAAAGCATTGGTTTTTAAAATAAATAATTACTTAAAAAATATAAATAATAAATTCCAAAGGAATGTCCACATTAGTGTATTCGTTTCAGATCAACCCCAAACTACCCTTTAGTTTCGGTAGTGATAAAAGGGTCACGAAATTACACAAAAACTAAAATTGACATTGTAATATAGAAATCTGATTTTGTGTCGCACGATTATCTTATTGTTTTAAAATTGAAAGTCCTGATTTATTCCTGTGTGTCACGTGACTTGAAACACGACCCGCCATTGGGTACGCCCTGTCAGATTAATCGAAGGATATGCTAAATAATTATAAATCAAATTCCTAGATGGCGCTATTCTTAGCTTGTTTATATCTTTTTATTTCGTAATCAAGCGTTAGATGACACTGTTTTTATTTTATTCACATCTTGTAATCTTCTACTCTATTCATTTGTTTTGTGTACATATCATAATAACGTCATGAAATGACAGCTGTTTTCGCGAGTATAAAAAAGTTTAAATTTTGATCCAATTTTAAGGCAAGAAAACGTGTTTATTTTCCGAAATATTTGTTTTATAGTTTTTTTTTTATGAAAACAAACAGTTACAAGTATTATTTCAAACAGAGTAGAATGCCCAATTCAATCTACCTACTTCAATCACTGGTAACGATAGGTTAAAAATAGCTTCGAACTCGTCGTCGATGTCACATTATAGAGTTTTATAGAAATAAAACTTTTATAACCTTTTGAAGTATGTTTTATTCGATTGAATACTATTGAGGATAGCATTACCGACGTTTGTGCTCTAGCAAAGGGATTAAATAAATAATATGCTGATGACTATGATTCACTTACCGTCGTTTGAGCCGTTCATCTACTTGTGCCATCATAGCCGCCGATGTTAGGTGACCGTATTTCTTCTGCCACGTGTATGTATCTAATGACACCTCCTTCTTCAACAGACGCCTCATTGGCCTCTTGGGAGCTAACGGCCTCAGTTCTATGAGAATTAAAATTTAAATAATATACACAATGATATTTTAGTATAATAACATTGATTATACATATTAATTTTTATAGCGTTTTATCGATTGCGAGAAAATGGAAGACTCGTCTGACTTCTTGTTGCTCTCAATTTTGCTGCTCTAGGAAATAGGAATGACGATTAATTTTTATTTGTTTGTCCGTCAAGTAGAGTGTTGAAAAATATTAAACACGTATTTTTTTATTTTATTCGTAATCATAAAATAACGGCGATATATGGAGTTGAAATTTCGCATGACGTCACGTTATAGTACGTTTTCTACAAAAATGTGACGTAGCGAGCTCCCACTCCTCAACTTTAATGGCTATGATCTAAGCTATTTCTAGTTAAATTGAAGTAAAAATAAATACGTATTTAATATTTTTATATTATCTGACTGACGGACTAAAAAGAATTGCATTTTTTTTACCCAGTCGTCATCCCTATTGTTCGATAATCCTCTTGAGATCGGGCATATAATATAATAGTGATCTTACTATATGACGTGATTTTCCAGGGATTTGCACAAGGACATGCGATGTCCAAGAGTACAAATTAATAATTCTATCAACTAAATTATTAATATTTTTTAAGCATTTTTCATTGAGAATATATTTCAGTATTACATTGTGAATGCAAAAATTAATAGAAAATAACGAATTTATAAAGGTGTGAATATTATTTTTCGATGTTACATATTAAATTCTATTGTCAAGGGCTACCTCCACAATGACTACTATCTTATCATCAACATAACAAGCAAGATAGTTCTATAATATTTACCAACCACCATGCCTACTTGTTGATCTGATAAGATTGCCACTTAGCATCATGTTATCTATTCCACTGTTTCATTAAATATGTTCGTGTATGAAGTCTAGTTACACACATTTTAAAGAAAATAACGTAAATTACGATTTTATTTTAAATTTTAATCGCATTCTGTATAGAATTCGTTTGATTTCAATACACAAAACTAAATCATGCCTCCTCACATGTAATATAATGTTACAGAGTTGAGGTTTTGGTAGGTAATTTTACAGAGCCTGAGTATTCATGGTAAAAGTTTGCCGAGCAACTGTTGACCAACATTGTTTTTGCTTGCAGAGTAAAAACATTTCAACATGCAGTTATTCACTTCGCGTAACATAATTTCTGTGACAGTGTAAATAATATATTGATGACTCTTATACAAACTACAGTATTGGTAGAATGGAACTTTGCAAAGGGCATTTAAAGCATGCCATTCTGTTTTCCATAACAATCGACAACTGATGCTTTAAAATAGAAAATATTAACTAAATAAATAAATGCTGACGTAACAAAGAGTAAAAAAAAAATATTTTTTTGAAATAATTCTTACCATCTACGTCCTTAGTTGGAGCTGCATAAGTCGGTATTTTCACGTAAGTTGCTGGAGTGTTGTGCAGGCATATGATTGGCAGACATCCTATAGGGTAAAATAAATATTGTTTTGTATAGTCCCCGCAAATTACTAATGCGCTGGAACCGTGTCTAACAAAACCAGCGTTTAGCTTTCCTTAGACCCCAGGGAATAAAAAAGAAATAAATAATTTATTATTATTTTTTATTTGCCGCAGTTATGCTTAACACATCTGTAGTTTACAACTGTGTACAAATAAATAAATCACCATCAGATGGAGCTTTTTGAAAAGCTCCAACAGCAGAAAGTTAATTCTCAGCAAAGTAGCTAGGTGGCGTTTGCAAGGCTACATTTGCAACCGTTAACACCCAGTAGCTAAAGTGGTGTTTCTCAAGGGTCGGTCACAGGATGAGTGACCAAAAAGCTAGTATCTCGAGCTGGAGTAACCCTCCAGCTGCTTCGGAAGGCACGTTAAGCAATCGGTATCGGCTGCAGTTGTAGTCGTCAATACTCTCCAATTCGCATTGGGCTAGCGTGGAGGAAGGCCATATACCTTGGAGACGTAAAAGGGCTGATGATTATAATGATAAACACCAAGCAATGAATAATGGGCTCGTTCTTCCTATGTTACTCTATCAAAAGTCGAAGCCCGTGCTACAATTTTATATAAAATTTTGTTACTTCACTGAAATATAAAATGAAAACTGAAATACAATATTCTTTACACCCATAAACCAAGTTAGGTTTATTGTGTTGCTAATATATAAATATGTTATACTTTAATATGTGTAAAATAAAATAATAATATCATTACCTCTATCAAGAAGATGCACAACTATTCTGGAGCAGTCGCTCGTGATCTGGAATCCTAATAAAGGCACGTGCAACGCCAATGACGTCAGAGCTAGACCCCTCTTTGTTTCCCAAATTATGAGGGTTTTATCTTCCGCACCTGGCAGGTATTTTATTATATTAACGTTCTGTATTAGTGGGGAATGTTCTTTAACGCAAGAAAATATATTTCGCACTCATGCTGGTAAAACCTGTTAACTGACATTTCTATTATATTGTAAAACCGGCCACGTGATAGTCGGATACGCGCACTAAGGATTCCGTACCACAAAGGAGCAAAGAAATCCCATATGTTGTATTAAACATTTGTAAAATTTTAATTTAACTATTTATTTTTAAAGTTACGATATAAATACATATCCCGTAAATATTTCTTTATCAATATCGAGCAAAAACCTTAGTAGCCCTTAAATATTTATTATATTCTAGTTTTTAGTATTTGTTGTTGAAGCGGCATCAGAAATGCATCATCTGTGAAAGTTTCAACTATGTTACTATTGTTTATGAGATACAGCCTGGTGACGGACAAAAAAACCCATTTTGTTGTTTTAAAATTTGTCTGTTAACAGGTTTTACTATATTCAAACTTTGAACCTCACTGCGGATTTTCGATGTTCGAAATATGTTTAAAATTTAAACATATTTCGAAAATTTCAATTGACACCGTTACCGTTAAAAGTCTTGAAATTAGCCCTCAAGTGCATTAAATTAATGAGTGCACTTATGAGAAAAAACAAATCTAAAACGAAACTCGTCTACAAATGACACTCCTATTGGTACATAATTGATTTGTATGCCTGTGTTGTTTCGTTTGTGATTACATTTATTGTGAATAAAAGTAAAATTGTTTTTTTTTATCTGCCTTTAAAAACACTTAAATTCTTAGAAGTCAAGCGATATTCCCATATTTATATACGTATGCATACATACTCGTACTGTCTAATTTTTTTTTTATTAGCGTCAAAATAATTTGGTCAAAACAAATCTTACCAGAAACAGCAATGGTCCCATCTCCGGTGACTTTGACGCAGGTGACCTTGCCAAGGTGACCAGACAACAGGTGGAGATCTGAGCCAGTGTTGATATCCCAAACGATAAGGTTACAGTCCCACGAACCCGACACCACTTGGGTTTTATTCGTTATCGACACAGCGACGCAAGTCACTATGTCTGAATGTCCTACTAAAACCTGGCATGGAAGATAGAAATGGATGTACTCTTAGAGAAAGAAAAAGAACTCTGGAAATTTTCATGTAGTCATTAAATAATATGTCTATAATAGGATGTCATCAATTCCTTGATTAACTTTCATTCTATTGTTAGTGCCTATGAAAATATAAAACAAGATAATGTGTGTATAATATTTGAATAATGTTCAGTTATTTATCTCTCCTTCATTACGTATAATTATGATAGACCTACTTAAGTTAAGCTACCTTAACTTAAGGTAATTGCATTTATTCATATACATTTAGTCTTTTATTATTTAAGTTATCTTATACTAGCTTTCCGCCAATGGCTTCGCCCGCGTGGTCCTGTATCTATACATATAAACCTTCTTTGTTAATGAAAACCGCTTTAATATCCGTTGGGTAGTTGAAAAGATCTCAGCTTACAGACAGCGGGAAGCGACATAGTTTTATACTATGTATAGAAGCTCGATGGCGCAGTAGTTAGTATGTTCGGTCTGTAATACGGTTGTTAAGAAACTTACGCATAGAGATGTAACGATATCACCTAGGTATTGATACTTTAACTCGATACCTTATTAGTCAGGAGGTATCGATACCTACTTGTTTCGAATAGTTTTAAAATGCTTCACTGTCGTCAATAGCTATACTCTCGTTTACGGTAGAAAGAAAAGCAGGTCCAGACATAAAACGATGCATACATTTAGTATTTAGTTAGGTAATGTTTTTTAATTTTGTTAGTAGGGCCTCCTTTAAATAGATATTTAACTATATAAAGTTAGTAGGGGTTGGCATTGCTTCGTCATACGACGGGGATACCGCCGCACCCGTGGGACTTCTTCATGAGACAAACTTAAGACACCTTACGAAAGGTTAAAAAGTCTTATGACACATTTCAACCCTACTTACACAAGGACCAGTAATAGGATGGGTAACCAAAAATATATTATCTCGAGCTTCTTTGTGCTTTGGAAGGCACGTTAAGTCGTTAGTCCCAGCTAGATGCAGCAGTCGTAAACACCCACTAATACGCTATTGACCTGCGTGGTGAGTGAGATAGTACATTCTTCTTATTATGAAACCCAGTAGTGGTCATAGGTTGGTGATTCTGATCATAGATGTATGAGGCTCAGATTTTTCTTCACCTGCGATAGTTTCCCGCCGTCGAGTTTCCACACTTTGAGTGACATGTCCATGGAGCCTGTGACGACATGTTGCGAGTCCGCAGTAAGAGCGAAACATGTGACTCGTTCCGCATGTGACACGGAACGTCTCTCCTCACCACTGTCACCACCAGCGAGCGCCCATATGCGGACTGAATTGTCCCCATCGGACAATACCTTCGGTTAGAGAATTCTCTTAGTACATTTTTGTTATCAGCATATCCTCTAAAGTTAAAATCTTTTTCTGTGCAAAAGTTTGATCAAGTTTGACTTAAATCAAATGTAGTCAAATATTTGGCCAACGTTTATGTACCAAAATTTTATGAGTTGTGACACAGGGAAGGAAAATGTCATTTATGAGAAATTGCAATGTTACGTCACATATCTAGTTACGTTATATATTTCTAACATAGAATTCTTTTTATGTAAATATTAGGCTAAACGAACGTTAAGTCTTCACCAGTTGTATATTAATATAATAAAAATCCAAAGAGAATTCTTTTTATTTGTCTCCTTTGGCTTGGATTCATCTGATAGCAACGCTAGTCAACATTCGACTTTTCATAATGAAATCTATCTTTGAGTTAGAACTAGTACAATTTAAGCCTCATTATATGTATATCACATTTCACATTTCATCAAAATCCGTTCAGTAGTTTTTACATGAAAGAGTAAAAGTACACATATATCCTTACGAACTTTCGCTTTTATGATATAAACTAGCTTTTGCCCGTGACTTCGTCCGCGTGGTAAAGTTACTTTAAGCAGAATTTCTAACGAATATTTATTAATTATATTGTGTAAAATACTTGAAATAAAGTTTCATCCCCTATTTTATCCCCTTAGGGGTGGAATTTATCAAAATCCTTTCTTAGGGGATGCCTACCTTATAGTAGCTATATGCATGCAAAGTCTCAGCCCGATCGGTTCAAAATTGACAAAGTTTCATACAAACTTTCAACCCCTATTTTATCCCCTTGGGGGTAGAATTGATCAAGATCCTTTCTTAACGGATGCCTACGTCATACCATCTACCTGCATGCCAAATTTCAGCCCGATCCGTCCAGTGGTTTGGGCTGTGCGCTGATAGATCACTATGTCAGTCAAGTCACCTTTGAGTTATATATATTTAGACAGGGCAATACGATATATATTTAGATAGACGGTGAGACCGATAAAACGGACACCTAAAGCTTATATTTTTATGCTACTTTACTGCGAAAAAGCTGTTGAATAACATACAATATATTTCATTTAAAATTTTCTTTTAGCTATTATTATATAAACAAGGTTCAGCGTTGCAGATGTATGTGCCTTACCGCATATTTCATATTTAATGTGACGTCTAAGCTCGCCGCCGGGCCATTAGTTGAATGTAACACAATACCGGAATCCACCAGCCACACATGCACATTACGTGACCTGTCGCTAGACATCGCACGACGTCCGTCCGACATCATTAGCAACGACTGCAGTGCCGCTGGGTGACCCTAAAATGCAAGTTGGTCGATGACAATCTCATCTAAATAGCAATAAAAGAACGGATGCAATAGAACAAGTTAGAAATAAGTAAATGTAACAAGGGGAGGTGTAAAAATAAGTCTATTAAAGAGTAATAAACAATTACAAGACATAGATAAACAAAAGTAATAGAAACGTTAACATAATTAAATTTAATATATATTTGATAAATTGTGAAAATTCACAGAATTTTCATAAACAAAATTTTAAATACTAGATACTTAATTTAAGATCTGAGCAAAGTATACGATATTTTCTAGAATATATTCTTTATGTTATTAGATAGGATCAGTTATTATTAATTATATAGCTTTTATATTACTTTTCAGAATAACGGGCTAATTGATGTAAATATTAGTTATATTCACAACTATTGAAATACAGATAATATTTTTCTTCATATTCATTGAAACTGATGAAGATAGCGAGGATAAGAGACTTTCGCTAGGGCCGCTTATAGGATGGGTGATCAAAGATCTATTATCTTGCATTTCTCCATGCTTTGCAAAATACGTTATTGCTATTGGTCCCGGCTGCGTTTGCAATCGTTAATATTCACGAATTACAACCGGGAATAACAATATAACGGGTATATTCTATTTATACTCGAGTAAAAATTCAGAAAATTTCGAATGATCCTTATAATTTTGAAAAAAAAAGAAAATATTCGTGAAGTACGTCAGGTTTTACCTCCACTGCATCATAAATAGTCGAAAAATTAATTTCTTTGGAGTCACATTAACATTTCGGATATAGATGAAATTTCGTTTACGCAGAAATACAATTGGCTTTCATCATGTTAATAACGTATAATATGAGTATTAAATAAATGTGTCTGTAACAAAGTGCGCAACTAACCTTGTATGTTAAAGATGGCGAATTGTCAGCTAATTGCCAAACAACAACGGTCCTGTCTTCTGAGCCGCTGAGAACTAGTAGATTGTTCGGTGAGAATGTGACGCATGTGATATGTCCTATGTGCCCACTCAGCGTGGTCTGAAGTCTATGAGTGGAGAGCTGCCACACTCTCACTAGTCCTCGAGCGCATCCACTTACTGCTAATTGCCCATCGCGTGAAACTTCCAGACAGCTGATAGGGATCAGTTCACTTTGTTCAGCCTGTTAATAAATACTGGACATTATTCGATTAGGTATTATTGTAAAATTACTTGTTAATATCGTCCATGATGACGACAATTTTTTTTTCAGGTAGATTTTTCTTACGTAATCAACAAATTGCAGCTCTACATTAAGTTAAAATGTCAACGCTTTTGTACATTTTCGACAAAGCTGTGACGTAGCTCGGCCCCACTCCTCAACTTTAAAGCATATAACATGCTTATTCTTGTTAAATTGAAGCAAAAAAAAACGCGTCTAATATTTTTCTATTATCTGACTGACTGACTAAATAGATTTCTTTTTTTTACCTAGGCTTCATCTCTAAGACAAGGGAAATCGGGAATCGGCATACATTCCTAATATTAAAATGTTATATTTGCATTCACAAATATGCTAATAAATATCTTTCAATGATAAACTAGCCCCTGGTACCGCGAGATGCGACTCGAACCCACAAACTTTCGAAATGGTTACAGCTCTAATCATTGAGCTACCGGAGATCCAACAGGTGACCGCTGACCTCTCTAGCGATCTAGCCTTAGTATACGACATCTTAGCGAATCTTATGACGACATTACATTTCATTTTGCTACCTTAATATGTCTATTTGTAGATAAATCTTAAATATGTAGATAAATATGTCAAAGTAGTGAAACGAAAAATAATCGCGCTATAACATGGCGTAGATGTTGTATCTGTGGCTATAGTTAGAGAAGTTAGACGGTCGCTTACTTGGACTGATAAATTTCTAGGCAGTTACTACTTTCGCTACTAGTGAGCGTATTTTCATCAACGTTCAGGTAATTCATTCAAATAGCCAAAATAAATAGTATTACAAATATTTTAAACCTACGATTAAGAAGAGTTCTAATTACAATATTTGATCAATTTTGATTTTTCTATTACGAGATGTGTATGTGTAAGTGTTTTTAGGAAACAAGGTTTACTTAATTAATAACTAGATTTTAATTGGTTAAAAAATATATGGTTGTATACATTTACTGTTGTGTTAATATATATTATTAGAATCTGTATGCTCACCTGTAACAAGGTAATATTCGTTGTCGATTTCGTTTGTCTTCTTTTTAGTTGTTTCGTTGGTCTAAAATTTGTCAAGTTGTCTTCCGTGTGGAATGAATATATTGTAACCCTATTACCACCTACAAGAATAATAATCAACATAAATATCGACGAATTCTTTTATCATCCAATTGAGTTATTTGACAAAGATATTTATCTCATCACGAAATTGAATTATAGTAGCTAATGTTGTTTTCTAAATCAAATTTCATTTTATAATATTAAAACAACAGAAATTGAGCTTAGAATCTCGATCGAAACAGAACCTTTATAGTTCACTATACTTTTTCTTAATATGACGGAAATTTCACACAATATTCTTACCAGCGGCTAAGAGAAAGTGATCCTTGTCAGCCATAGCTAGAGAGGCGAGATCGTGTGCAGCAGCGAGGGTACGTAACAGTTGTCCACTGTGCAAGCTGTAGACGTAGATTCGTTGATCGGCACAACCAACTGCCGCTCGAGATGAGTCATGTGCCACACAGAAGCATTTTATCTAAAAAATATAAAAGTCATACAGCTTCATCCCTATTACTGGGGCACTGGCATTGCCTATCGATGGATATCAAATCGAATAGGGAGAATGGGCTATGACATGATGGGGATTAACGACTGGTGATGCAGCCGAGACTCACAGCTAACGTGCCTTTATAATAATAAATTTTTGGTCACCCATCCTATGACTGGCCAATGTGAAAGTTACTAAAGTTCACTGAGCCATCGAGCTTCTCTGTCACATCTATTGTTACATATAATATACCAAATGTACATACATATATCTACATCTACACAACTAAATAAGCAAGCTAAGTAATGTATATAAATTTGTCTAATATTTATTTCTTAATTTAATGAGTCTCCAACCTTGAGGTAAGAAATTGCTCCGGTGGTTCTTTTTATGTTAGTGTGTTAACCAACTAGAAAATAATAATTTTCAAATATAATTTACATATAAAAAAATGAGGTAATTCTACGTCTACAAAATGTCCTCGCGCATCTATTTAATGTTATTTGAAATGTTACTGAAAGACCTTAACATCAAATCCATCAAACGTTTGTGATCGGGATCAAACAAATTGCTTTAACTCCCACTTACTACTGGTAGCGGAAATAAATTACCACCGATTGCTAGCTAGGGCCCAACGAGATCAACTTCTCTTATTCCATTTACTGGGAACTAAGCGATAACTGTGACCTTTTACACAGCCACTAGTAATGAGATTGCGGAAACTTTTCTTCACACATGATCCCAACGAGTTTTAGTTAGGGTTGCCAAATGTAAATATTTAAGATATGAGGTCTTACCAATACCTATTTTTATATCCACATTATTGTTGTTGTGTATATAATAAATCATTTTTATTTATTTCTCTTACTATGTTTATCAAATAAAGAACACCCAATAGAGTTATTTGATTTCTTGAAGAGCATATTTCCGAAATATTAGTTTTTTACGTGAGCTACTAGTGCAGCTTCAATAAATGGTTAATATGTATCGTATTATGTATATGATTAAAAACTTTAGAAAATTTTGTTACGAATAATGATTGTTGATCTTAACATATAAATTTTGTAACTGCTACTATTTAGTAAAAAATCCTCTAATTTATTTTTAATTAAGTCTCTTTAAACTAATAATCTTATGATCTACGTAATCGAAATCTCAAGATTTTTATTATTAATATACCAACTATATCAGACGGACATCATGCTAAATATTACAAGATAAATTAGATATTAATTTCTAGTAGCTACAATTTCCTCGGGTGACTTTACATCGTTCGGACTATGTTAAAATTTTAACGGATGACAGCCCTACGCTTAGGTGTATTGTTCCTATTGTAAAGAAAATACTTCGTGCACGTCTCAGGAGATCAGAAAACAAGTTTATTGGCAAAAAAACTTCGCTAACAAATCACGTAGTTGACGTATCGAGGATTCATAGTCATATTTGGACAATAATAAAAATAAGACATCAATAAGGGATTTGTTATTATGTACAAAAATATTATCGAAGGAGTATAGAAGTGTATTATAATTGGAAATGAAAAAGTAATATAAGTATATATCCAACAAAATTACTTTGACATAAAGGGACAAATTATTTTAACATATATATTTATAAATAAAAAGAATTATGCATTAATAAATAAACATTAGACAACATTGCTCTTCTCATATAATAAGTTAAGTAGCAAATGCACATGTATTAGCGAATTTTAAAACTACGAAGGTATCACATCACCCAGACCCAAGACAATGAAGAAAAGTTCATTTTCTACTTTGATCCGGCCTGGAATCAATCCTGGAATCTCTCTCAAAATGTCGACACCTTGAATATACGGCCACGGAGTTCAACCATCAAGGAGAATATGTGTGATATTCAATTTTATTGCCTATCAGTTTGGATTTGGAAAAAGGTGTGGATTATCAATTTGATAAAAAAGACATAAAAATACTTTACTTAAATATTGAAAGTTTAAAATGTTATGAAAGAGAAAGTTTCTATTTTTTTCCAAATGGTACTCAGTAGTAAATATAATTATAAAAATCTGTAGCTTAACGCCAATAAAATATTTTTCATCTAATAAATACTCGTATGCATTTTTAATGTGAATGTTTGTGAATGCGGAAATTGGCAATATAACTTCAAATGTTAGTTTTATGTGTCTCGTTACGACCGCGGTAAAAGGCATAAGTTGCTTGAGTTGTCATAAAATGATGTATTATGTTCCTCAAAACATATGTGGCATGAAGTTCATAATATATGGCGTACATAAATTTCAGATATTAATGTTTAAAGTTTAAACATTAATATCTGAAATTGAATTAAATGAGGAAGTATTTTAACTCTACTAAAAGTTGAATTTTGCGGGAAACGAATGGACCAACGATAGTCATTTCCGTTCCTTTTAACCAACATATTACAAAACTGAAATTAGCAAAGTTCGAAACTAAGATATCAATACAAATACGAAAAAGTACAAATACAATTTGAGTGTTTATTGAGTTTTAAAAATTAATTTACTTTTATACATGAAATAAAACCGAAATGGTTGTCATGGAGAAATCAAAAAAGTACCGTAGCGACATTTAGTTTGATTTCAGGAGCTAATGTTTTTCTTTAGAAACTTTCTCATTGAGAAGAAATTGTAAGCTGACAAAAACAGTTAATTACTTAAGTAAAACTATAATTGAAGATTTTTGGTTTGAAAAACAATTGATTTTTTTAAAGAAAAAATTTTTCCCTTTGAATGCACTGCCATAATGTTTAATTATTATCCTAAAGCCCTACTAACAATAATTGAAGTTGACAAGAAAGGACTAAGCTACAACCAAGGAATACAAACACCTATATTTAAAAACTTAGGCGTCATATATTTTTTTAAAGTTTGTTTTGAAGAAATAGACCTCATTTGTACACTGTTTAAGAAATTTCTTATTATGTAGACTCGCTGTGTACACATGACCTATATAATTCTATTCCCAATATTTATTCTTGAAACATGTCAAACTCAACTAGAAACATAGAAAAGTAATCAATAAGCACGAAGGAGGTTTAAAGAGAGCTTAGTCATACTTTTAATTGGTCAACTTCAAAAAGAGTTTCTATAACTTGTTAACCTTCTTTGTGATTCTTATGAATTATTTTCCAACTAGGCGGTTTAGTTTGTGGAAAAAAAAGAATTGAAATTTTGTTTGACATACTTATTCCTTGGATGATTTTATTGTCGTTATTTTAATAAGAGCAAAGCTGCTGGACCGATGCTGATGGAAGTTCTAAAGATAAAAACAATTTTGAAACATACTCTATTAAACAAAATTAGTCAAAATCAGTTCACAAAGTCATAGTCGGATAAACAGAAAATAAATATATTCTAATTACAGATGAAATGAGAACTTCCTTCCGCTTGCTCCATTTCTTTCCTGTTAAAGATCTATAACCGTTTTTCCTAATGATTGATGATATATGATGATATGATGGGAGATAATGCCATTAGCATTAAGTCTGCCTTTTGTACCATTTCTTTACAGTTTAAGATAAAGACTTTGTTGTACAAGGTAGATTTCCGATTAGAAAGTAGTTACCAAAATTATTTCACTTACGGGAGCTACATCATACGGAAGATATATAGGCTAATAATTTACGCAGGGAAAGTCGCGGCGAAAAAGCTAGTAGCTATATGTGTAAACTACTGATTTGTTACATTCTCACCTTAGCTTTATGCCGTTTCAGCATATGCAGGTACGTCCCAGTGATGAAGGTTCTCAAATGTAGCTCATTATCACCCTGCAGCGTGATAAGGAACACGTTGTCGTCTGTGATATCCATCGTATGTATCGGCACACCAGCTGTTACGGTGCTAAGCAACGTGAAGTTGTCCACGTTCCACGTGCAAACCGTTCCATCTTGGGAGCCAGTGACAAGGATATCACCGTCTTGTATCACCTTCACTGCGGTCACTGGACCTCTGTGGTGGTCGATTTTTGTTACCTGCCAGTTGGTATATTTTTTTACACATTTTTATGTTTTGTTTATGGAACTCGACATTCTATTTTTAAATAGTAATTCATAAATGTATCTATACTAATATTATAAAGAAGAAAGTTGTGATTGTTTGCAACGAATGGGTTCTGAAAGTACTCGAGCGATTAAAAATAATCTTTCACCTACGGGAAGCTTTATCATATGCAGTGCATAGGTTATATTGTATACCGAAATACATCAAATTAAGGGATGAAAGTGGGAGTGCAAGTTTGTATAGGGAATTAAAACGTTATCATACTATTGTTTACTAATCAATTTGTCATTGTAATTATATCCGTGTCAGGATATTAATCGAAGTCGCTGTTGGATAACTACTGATGAATAAGAAATAGGTGAGTTTGATTGTTTGTTTGAATCGTATAAGCTCCGAAGGTATTGGATAGATTTCAAAAATTCTTCCACCTACGGGAAGCTTCATCAAGCTTTCCGTAGGTTAGGTTATATTTTACGCGATCAAAGTCGCAGGATAAAAGCTAGTTATGTATAAACATAACTAGCTTTTATCCTGCGCCTGTACCCCTAGCACCTTTCAAAACTAATTTTGACAGGTGCTAGGGTTACATTAATAAATCATCTTTAATCAGATTCGCAAATTGTGAAGCTGATCCATCTTTTACGGTTCATAATAATACAATTATCTGCTTATTAAAGCAACCTAGACGGGTCAAAGTTGCAAGTCTTATCTTTGAAGCGTCTTGAAATCCCTTCACTGCCGTGATTAATTAAGAAATACAATAGGCTTGTTTATTTATTTTGTAGCTGAGATTTTCTAAAAGAAATCTCTAATTAAATTGCACTGCCGTTATGAGATAGAATTTTCACTTACACATTTTGTTTTAAGAATCGTCAGTATAATTTATAAACTATGATGTTACTCAGCAAAATGAAAAAAATAATCACTTGCAACATGCTAAGCTTAAAATCGATTGATTAATTTGACAGTGCCGTTGATTGTGGCTTACATAATAACTAGTCATATTATTTCGTCTTATCTTTCTTTTCGGCACATATTTTTAACCTAAAAAAACGCAATGTAGCTTTTTAATTAAACTAAGCTTTGTTTCAATTTCATTTCATACAATTTTACTCTAAAGAAATGTAAACAGACTGGTATTTTAATCAGTTCTGGGGAAGATGGGAAATATTCAAATATAAAGTTAAGTAAAGATGTAAGTATTGGAATATTTAAAAAATAGAATATTCAGTGAAGATTTAGGTATTCATTCAAATATAATAAATGTATGCGTATATGTAAATGTATCCTAATAATATGAAAAATAAAAGTAGGTTATAATGTATTATTCTAAAACTACGAGAGCACTAATTAGTTATTCGAGCATGAAAGTGTATCTACAAAAATTACGACAGGAGACAAAAGGTCAGCAGTCTACTAATTATTTAATGAAATCTATGTACAGTCAATAGCACACAAAGTTTCTCCACTTGAGTAGAGTTCAAAATCAAAAGGATCTTTGAAATAATTTGGTAGTCGTGTGTTAGGGTCTAATACGACCTTATTCTAATGAAATGAGAAATATTGTTTCTTTTTATTATTACATTTTAATAGGGAAGTTGACTATATTTTTTTTCCGTCCGTGTGGAGTATATTTAACACGATTTTTTTTATTATATTTGATCAATTTTACTTCTTAAAGAAAAATGCTTAAAAAACACTTTGTCTCTGGTATTCTGAGATGGGATTCGAACCCAACGACATCGCACGTAAATTATAGGCTATGTCACCTGCGTATGATGTAGCTACCCGCAGGTGAAAGAACTTTTAAAATCGGTTCAATAGTTTCGGGGCCATACGATGCAAATAAACAATTAATTTTTTCCTCTTTATAATATTAGTAAAGATGGTATAAGCCTATGTTGTTAAATTGCAGCAAAAAAAGAACACATATCTCATATTTATACACTTATCTGACTGATCGTCAATTGCACAAACGTCCATTAGGGTTTAATGGCGCCTTTAAGCTCTACTGAATGTCAAATTAGAATCGTTAAAGTCGCTTTAAGCTAACGAGAATTTTAATTGAGGTCTGTGCAACTGGCTGTGAGGGAACTATTATTTTTTTTCCAGTATCATCTCCTATTGTCTGCTAAGTATAGGGTTGTTTTGTGTATATTGTTTTGTGTTTTGCGTATTGACGAAATCTTACCAATGCACCATCGACGAGAGATGTCACAATAACTGCAGAATCTTCTCCCCCGCTTATTACCAACGATCGGTTCACTATCGCTGCCACACATAAAACAGGAGCTATGTGTTCCCTGTGTATTGTTATAAATATAAAGATCAAGAATTTTCATATTCCAACCATACATACGGTGATGGTTTTTTCCATTATCAACAGATGGCGTATTCTGATTTTTTTGACCCAATTAAAAATACATATTTTTAAAGTGACAAATATTGCGTTTTTATTTATAGTATTAAAGAGCTAAATAACGAATTTTATTAATTTTCAAAACTTTAATAAAATGTTAATATACGTCATAAGATAGAAATGTAAAATTTATTTGTTTAAAAAATAAAATTAACGCCATCTATTAATGCTGAAAGTTATCATCATTATTAATGCTGAAGAAATATACTTTGATTTGAAACAATGTAAAACGTTCATTAAAACAGGTATCTCGAGAGGACTTCGCTTACGCAGTAAAGCATGCTAGTATAGTACCATAAACTTTATTAGGCATTGCATTTTAATGAGCTCGGTAACATTGTACCTATTCAATGGCGCTTCTCACTTGACATGCAAATCTAGGAATACGTGCAAAATTTATGCATAATACTTAGGTAATATATTGCTTTTGGGGCAACGCAATTGTCAGCGGCTTGCAAATATAAAGAAATAAACTTGATTATATTGGACTTTAATAGATTTTTGACAGTGTCTTAACCCCCCGTTTGTTTTATGATCTTGTATGATCGGATATAATTTATAGTTCTATATGAACTTTTCTATATTGTCTTTAGTCTAATGCCCGTTTTCACTAAACTTAGGAGTCGCCCAAATCTTTCGCCTAAATATTAAGGAATCGCTTAAGGTAAAAATACATTTCACGATTGGATTAGAAACCATCTAGCAAAACTAAGCAATGTCTAAAGCTATGACATTCGTTATGTGGTGCCTTACGCTAGGCATTTGCGTATTTTACAGGTCATGAATATGACAAGGGATAAAAGAAAAAATATTTATTTTGAATTAAAGAAATCTGCTTAGGCGATTCGTAATATTAGGCGTTTCCTAGCTAAGCTATGCCTTGTTCTAGGTTAGTGAAAATAGGTGTGATACTCGTATCTTATTATCTATTGTATTTATTTTGTACTTACAATATTTTGGTTTTCACGGCCAACATGTGCAGGTCCCATACGATGACGCTAGTATCCTCTGACCCGGTGAGAAGATATTGCGACTCCCGGGTTACACACATACACAGTATCCGCCCCGAATGTCCTACAATAACATTCACTCAATAGTGAGATTACTTGGAACTTTAAAATTATTTAAAAGCACCTAATATTGATGGAAAAGGTAACCATTCTCCTGTTAGTGTAAACCTATGGACTCCTGTGTGCGAAATATCACGGTTGGAACAGACAACCACGTTCTCAGTTGCATATCACGTGCGAAAGAAGAGACCTAATAAATACGTCATTATATTTTTTCCTGTATAGATATTTATCACGAATCCATTCATCCAAAACTAATACAATTAGTAAAATGCAGTTTAAATGTTTTTTTTCTGCTTCCGCAGCGGAACACCGGTTTTGAAGTAATTCGCATAGTAATTCCGCAAATGGATAGGTTATACCTGTTACTTTCAAAATAACTATAACAATATAGACGAAGTAATACTAGTAATAAGACTTTAGGAATTTTTATTTGTTACGCCTACGTCAACGTGAAAATCTTAAAAATTAAAACTAGCGGGCAGGAAATATGTTGTTCTGAGTAAATAAGGAATGTCAAGAATTGGTAGGTAATTTTTCCCGAATACAGCGAAGTGAAAAGGAAGGTTATGATTTTGGCTAATATGTATGTGTGTGTAAGAATGTTCATCTGTTCTCTTGTAACTTCGAAACTCCTCATGGTAACTGGACAAATGAGGTAACATTTAGTTACCATGAGTCCGCGAGACGTTGGCAACAGCGCCCTCTAGAGAGCATTTTTTTTTAATGGGATAGGGGGCAGACGAGCAGACGGATCACCTGATGGTAAGTGATTACCGTCGCCCATGGACACCTGCAACACCAAAGGGGCTACAAGCGCGCTGCCGGCCTTGGAGGAAAGGGTTGAGGGGTAGAGGGAAGGGAATAGGGAGGGGTTGGGCCTCCGGTACCCTCACTCACACGACGAAACACAACGCAAGCTTTACTTCACGTTGGTTTTCTGTGAGGCCGTGGTATTACTCCGGTCGTGCCGGCCAATTCATGCCGAAGCGTGGCTCTCCCACGGTCAAAATAAACATATTATTAAAGTAAGAAACTAAAATAAACATATTATTCAATCTTTCCGTGTAGGGTATCAAATGAAAGGGCTAAATAAGCACATTTCAAATACGTCATTACACCTCTGTTCATAACAAAACAAACTGTTATGGCATATGACTACGCTTTCCTTCGGTCATTAGCTGTCCCTATAAAATAAACATATTGTTTCATACTTTTTAGAGCGTGATTTAGCTGTGGTCGGGTTTTAGTTATTGAGCTTATTTTTTTATCATAACAAATTGCCTCGGGGAATAAAATATTTTATCGGGGTAAATCTCTCTCACCATCCAATCTGTCGCACCTCTTTGACGTGAAAGAAGGACGACACCTTTTGCATTTACAGTATCAATAAGTTATTTTATGAAGAAATCTGACAATATCGAGGTCTCGGGGGTATTGTAGAATTTTTTAGAACTATACTCATTTTATCCGTCGTTTGTCACATCACATCACTAGCCTATTGATGTCACAACTTCTGGGGGTTAGGCTTTCCCTATAGGTGGAATCGAATCAAATAGAATAGGGAGAATGGGCCATTACCCACGGCCCAGTACGTATTGTTGGGTGTTGCAGATACACGACTGCAGATACAGCCGGGACCAATGGCTTAACGTGCCTTCCACAGGGCACAAAAGCGCTGCCCTCCCGCACAGCCACATTTGCGTTTTTGAGGTTATAATATAGTTTGAAAACCTACAAGTCTAATTTATTTATTTTTTTCTACGAACAGCAACAGTATGTTTATTTGAACCATTTTAAATCAAAGCGCCATGTTTTGTAAATTTATCTGAAAATTCGCTAAGATTATCACCTACTGCATTTTAATTAGTTAATATAATACCAAAACTGTTGAATATGCAGTAACAACACACTTTACTGCATTTTAAGTAGTTTAAAAAACGATTTAGTAAATAAAAAATAGATGCAGTAATAGGAGTTAAAAAATTGTAATGGCTATAATTTATTTATTTGTCATGTTTTTAACCTGAAATTTGTGAATTATTTTAGTATTGTAACTTCACTATTAGTATTCATTCAAAAACATTCATTCAAAATTTGATCATAAACAGTGATTTGTTAAATAAAGGTACATACGAGGGTCAAACTGAAAGTTCTTAGAAAATCAAAAACTGATTACATTAGCCAGTTATTAGTTTTATTATATCTTTTCAAAATATTGTCCATTCACGTCAATACACCGCTGCATGCGATGGAACCACTGGGAAAAGCACTTTGCCCACTCGTCCTTAGGGGTCTCTTCAATGGCATCGCGATACGCAGCCACCGCTTCTTCAGCATTCATAAACCGCTTTCCTTTAAGTTTTTCTTTAATTTTTGGAAATAAATAAAAATCACAAGGCGCGAGGTCGGGGCTATACGGCGGGTGACCCAGTAATTCAACGTTTGATGTCGCCAAATAGTCGATCGTTCGCTTGGCGGTGTGCGACGAGGCGTTGTCGTGGTGAAGGAGGATCCTACTGCGAGGTCGTTTCTCTCGAACTTTTTCCAAGACAAGTGGCAAACAATTGGTAGTGTACCATTCTGCAGAAACTGTTTTTTGATCCTCTAACACAATTGTTGCAAAATGACCTATCCTTCCAAAGAACGAGGCCACCATTTTTTTTCCCGCACTTCGATCTCTCTTCACTTTAGTTGGCAACTCCTCGAAAGGAAACACCCACTGAGCAGATTGTCTTTTGGTTTTAGGATCATAACAGTAAATCCAGCTTTCGTCACCTGTTAGTATGTCGAACACAGCATTTGAGTCACCTCCGTTAAATCTTTCAATCATTTTACGACACCAATCCACACGATGGAGTTTTTGAGCCTCAGTCAAATTATGAGGTATCCACCGGGCGCAAAGCTTCCTGACCGCTAAATGTTCGTGGAGGATTTTGTGCACTTGACTCATACCGATGCCTAAGCTTGTCCGAATCTGTTGATAGGTCACTCTTTTGTCAGTCTCTATCATACGCCGCACAACACAGATGTTATCTTCAGTCGTCGCCGTAGAAGGCCGTCCCTCACGTAAATCATCAGTGAGATTAGTGCGACCACGTTTAAACTCATTAAACCAGTTGTAAACAGTCGCACGAGATGGGGCTTCATCGTGAAAGGCCAATCGTAGTCTATCATAACTTTCTTGTTGACTTAAATGACATCGAAAGTCATAAAAAATCATTACACGAAAATTTTCTCGTGTTAAATTCATGATGACGTGACACAGACAATTTTCAATTTGCCGCCAAATCGTAAAACAAATGACAAATGAATGAAATATATACTCAGTAATATTGGCAAAGAGTTATATTTTCAAATTTTAGAATTATTTTTTTATTATATTGTTTATAAGTGGCCAGTTCTAAAAACTTTCAGTTTGACCCTCGTATTATTTAAACTTCACCCGCGTTTTTCTCGGTTTCTTTTTTTACTATTACTGCAGTTTAGGCTCAGGACGGTAGCGCGCTCGTGATACAAAATTTTTGGTCACTCATTCTTTGAGTTTCCATTACGAAAGTTTCTTAATAACCGTATCACAGACCAAGCGCGCTTACCACTGCGCCATCGAGCTCCTATCTCGAGTCACTTATTTAACACGAAGATAAGTTCCGTTTTTTTTTAGATTATCATGTTAGGTTTTCACGTCAAATAGTTAGTACCCAAAAAGCATCTATACTAATATCACCTATAAAAAATTTAGATTTTTTTCTTTGTTTTCATTCAAATGATCCGAAATTACTGGATTAATTAAAAAAAATCTTTCACCTAAAGGAAACTATATCATACGCGGGTTACATAAGCTATAATTTACACGGGCGTAGTCGTGAGAAACCAACAACTAGTTAACTACTTTTTTCTACCATTCTACCATTTTTGGCAACCATTCTTATGTTAATGACCTTTTAAGATCGTTTCAGTAAATAAATAATCTAATAATTTCTCTTTATAATATCAGTATAGATAGTAAAATTAAATTACATTAAAATTGTTATTTAACAAAACACCTGTATCATACAACTAACGTTAAACACACATACAAAAAACACGATTCTGGCAAAATATTTATTTTAAATACCAGGAAATTTACGCATTAGGCAAGTATCAAATATGACAAACGGGCGAGACAGAGAGGATGAAGGTCTTTTTTTACGACGTAATGAAATTAACTACGTTCACGCAACGTAGGTACGCCCGGGGGAATACTCGTTTATCTATTACTAGTGACTCGAGAGCCTACTACGTAAATATAACGGGATATTAGTGTTAGTAATACAACGAATATTTCTCTAACGAATACGAATAGGTGAGAGGTGGCCATTTTAAGATTATACCCCGTTTTTGACCATTTTAAGATTATGACCTGATTATGACCATTTCATGATTATGACCTGGTTTTGACTATTTCAAGAGTTACGAAGAAGTGACCTTTGTCATATCACAATATGCTTAAACGTAAGTTAGAAGGCCTTAAAGTGCCCAATAATCAAAAAGAGAGCATTGGCCAAAACCGGGTATTTTGCCCCAATAATTCTAATAATCGTCGGGTAAGTTTAATTCGACAATAAAATAATAGTTTACCACTAGCAAATTTACCACAAATCTTCAAAATACACAACATTTGTAACGTACATAATAAAAAAATCAAAAGTAAATAATTACTATCAACTAAATGTTTAAATCTATTAATAATTATATGAATTGTATAATCTCTAGGCGTGCGACTTTGACATTTGTGACTAGCATGTTACTTTGAAAATTAACTTTATTTACTTTGAATATCATAAAACATGGTCCGCAGTCAAAACCTAATGTGCATTTTTTTTGTTCACTTATCAGTAAATTATTTTAAGTATTCGTAATGATATCTGGCGAATATGAATATTCGTATTAGTTAAGAATAAAACTAATACTTAAAACCCCACAAAACAACTATCTACTAATAGTTTGCTGGTACTATCTCTCATAAAATTAAGTAAGTGATGTAATATATTGCGTGATCGCGTTATATTAAATTACAACATGAATATTTTATCACTTACACGGTCAGTTGCACAAACGTACATTAAGGTTTAAAGACGCCTTTAAGTTCTAATAAATGTCAAATTTGTATGGGTAATGTCGCTTTAAACTAATGTCAATTTTAATGGTCGTTTGTGCAACTAGCTGACAGACTATTTATTTATTCAGTAAGAGTGTATAGCAAGTTTGTTGTTTTATTTTAAACGTATGATGTACCTACTCAAGCAATTAAATTGCAGAAAATGATAAAGTATAATAAGTTAATGAATTACTGGTAAAGTAGAAATGACAAAGAAAAACGTACTAAAAATCAAGGCTTTAAGTAAATGATACACTATATCGTACTACTTTTTTCATGATTAATAGATAGAAAGATGCATACATATAGCTATGCATTTTTAAGTTTCTGTCTATTAATTATTACATGTCTTTTAATTTTTTACATAACTTTAATGACTAATATTTCGAAACTTTATAAAGTAATTCTTTATAAAGTTTCGCTTTGCTTGCTTTTAAAAAGTTCTAACCCCTTAGTTGTTGTTAACTCATCGAAGAACATAACAATTGACTTGTGGCAGTTTTGTTTTATAATTACTATTAACTAAAAATAATGTCAAAAATTAATAATATCTAACAACAAACATTAATATGCTTAGTAATCAGCAAGCTTTGAGGTGTATTTGCTCAAAATATACTTATTAAGCAGTATATTTAATATACTTTTACGGTTAGTCGTGTTTCCTATCGTCTATTGAGTGGATCCCGACCATTTATTAAAAGGCACCACTTACGGTCTATGTCCTTCCTCTTCACCTGACCATTATCAGGCTGAACAAGGGTTAATGGACATGTTGGAAGGTCCAAAACACCCTGACTCATCATTTTAAGTTTAGGAGATGCAAAATTCGAAAAAAGGAACTAAGATATACTGCTCTCCATAGCGTAAATCATAGATGTGTAAGAAATGAATTTCATATTTTTAGTAATAATTAAAAAAAAAAACAATTAATTTCTTTTCATTTTTAAAAACATATTAATACAAAATCATAAAATAAGTGAATAACAAAATTAATATAATATTATAAACACTTTTATCAAAATTAAATAAGCCCGAAGGTAAAAAGGTTGAGTACCGCTATATTTAAAAGAGTATCAAGCTATCGGCTACGATATAAATTATTAAAATATATGTAAATTATATTATTAGGGGATTTTAAAAGTAAAATACTTTTGTGCTTAATGGTAAATCAATAAACAAAAATTTTATTTTACATCTATGTGTCTATCTATTCATTATTTCATATTTAATTTGTCTTTTCATTATTTTACATAACTTTCATGTCTTTTAAATGCCATTATTCATGTAGTAGTCACGCTATCATTAGGTGAGGTTGATTTTGTACTAACTTTTAAAAATATAAGGTTCAAAATCGATTGATTCCTGAATGTATAAAACTTTAAAAAATAATACTTCGTTATTTTTAAAATGTTTTACTAATTCGACCATCATTTTATTGATTGTGTTCTGTTTTGATATTAATAAAATAACACTGACAGTGTACAGTTAACACTGTCAGTGTTATTTTAATAAAAAAGGTTTAGTTTAAATAAATTTACGTTAAGATTGAACTTAGTCTTATTCGACAGACTGAGCAAAGTTTAAAGTTATATATAGAAGGAATTTTTACTCCTAGAAGACAGAAGTTATATAGGTTAAATTAATATTAATTTTAACTAATATTTAGTGCAAACTTAGCATTTTACTCGAACGCTGTATTTTGTTTATTAATGGCACTTTAGGTATACTCAAAACATTAAAGGATTACGAATAATGTTTCGTAAACCCCATGTAAGGTCATCGCTACCCATTAGATAGGGTTAATCCACATCTGACTGGTAACGAGGGTTCACTTTTTACCATAAAACTGTAAAATTCTTAAAACTGATAAATAAACAATATTCATGTGGTAGAGCTATTATCGCAATATTATGCATATGTAAATCATAACTAACCTTTAATTATTTAATGTTCAATTTACGAGAGAATTTGTAAGAACTTATAGAAAATACGTCAGTATTATTTATAAATTTTGCGTAATAAGCTGGACGGCATTATTATGCCGGTTGCTTATAGTTTCGTATGTGGTAGATACAATCAACTTTGCTTACGTAGCTATTTCTTCAATTTTCGCTCACTTTCTTTCCATTTTCACTTAGTAAATACTTTCTATGCGAGCCAAATTAGAATAGAGATAAAGTTTGAGAAATATATTATTGATTCGTTTAACTTTATACATATAATTATTATATTATATAATTGTCACGATATTATCAACACTGAATAAAATATATTTTCCAAATTGGTCTCTTGGTCTTTTCTCGGTTCACTAAATATTCATATTTATTATATGTATGTTGACGAGTTTTGTCGCTGGCCACTCTAAGTGCGTCCTCATTTTTTTACTTAAGGTTCAATTACAAATGTCAGTGTACCGTAATATATTATATCATACTACGAAAATGCGTTGATTTGGAAAAACATTTTCAGTAACAAAAACAAATATTTTCATTCCTTTATTTGCACACCTTACACCCTGAAGTGGAACCGCAATGAAAACCAATATGGGCCCGTTTGATAGTCCCAAGCTCGTCATTCTTTTATAAAAGGATTTCCTGGCTTCTGGAGCTTTTCACTCTCTGGCATGCTTTCTACAAGTCCAAACCATGCATCCATATGTTTATTTTTGATATCAATATACATTTGTTGTTAAGTCTATATTTTACCTTTGAAGGTATGCACTCTAGAGTTGGACATGACGTGCCATAGCTGTGGATCTCCCGCAGACGGCGCAAGCACCAGATGTTGACCAGAAGGTGCCAGTTGTAGCAGTCTTGCACCAGCGCCAGGAGTGGACCCACCTACTGACACCACGCGGACTGTGGAAGCTATTGGAGGTTGTAACCTGTGAAAAAACATCAGATTAAAATCTAATTAAAAATACAGTACCAACCAAAAAAAAAAATTGCTAAATTAAGGAAACTTATTTGAGCTTCGTATTTTTTTTGATTTATAGTTATATAGTTATATATTTCTATATTATGTCGAAAATCAGTTTGAAAACTAAAGTCCAAGTTTTTAAACTTTTTTAAAATATCATTTTCGCTTGTATTTATTACCAATTAACACTGGAATATTTTCTTTATTCTCTAATAAATTACAAGCTGTTTTTAGTACTCAGTAGGTTATTAACTATGTGGGGATAAATTTACATACATACAATCTACACTTTATATAATTGTTTCGGAAGGTATTTTTCGTTTAAAATTATAACATTTTTGTTGTCTTGTCAAAAATAATATTAAAATATTATAAAACTTAACACAATTTAAAATATTAAGCCTTAATTAAGCCTTTGTGCTATCGGCATAAATGATAAATGGACCAAAGTTTTAACCGTTCAACTTACAACGTTTGACTTTTGAAATGTTGGTTCATGTGCTGTGGTAAGGCAAAAAGCTTAAGAACAACTCAAACTTTTTCGCTTAGCCTTTTCTCACTCCAGATGAATTTATTTTCTGAAGGATTACGTAAAATGTTCTTAAAGCAATTTATCATCTGACAGTGAAAATCGCATAGTTTAAATAGTCATAGTTTAAAAGCGACAAGGAACTTGCTCATAAGAAAAGCTCGTGGCTACGTGTGATTTGGTAAGTGGACTGGCGAGAGACGTGTGCTTTATTGGATATGATCAACATGGAACTAGCTTTACTTTCCCGAGTCGTACACACTCGCATTCGGGTGAACGTTGCATACGCCAATGTACAATAATGTACATTGGTGCTGAGTCATACCTATAAGTCAATGCAATGCTTGAACTCTTTGTACCAAACTTGATCTAAATTCTCCGAATGATTTTGCGTCAAGGGTTGTACATTTGTTACGTAGACATTTTGTAATGCAAATGAAGCTGACTGAAGTTTGTAAGACTAGTTCTCGTAAAACACAATTATGTAGAGTGATTGGAGGGTGTGTACTTGTATGTAAGTATCAAGTTTATTCGGATTGTAGAGAATGTATGTGCTCTTTGTCTCAACAAGAGAAATCTCATAAATATACCAGCACGTGTAGCATGACGAACACGAGAAACGCTTTGTCTACACCCAAATGTCGCTTTCTCGATTCGAGAGTGAGATGTTGTATGAGCGCACCCGAGAAAAGTGACGTGAGTGAGTGAGTGTACGTTCTCGAGTTCGTCGAGTTTTTATTGTCTTTATGTGTCTTTAACATTAAAAACAATTATTTCGAAGGCAAGTTTAAACGTCACATGTTTCAAATATACCATCGCAATCGTTAAACCTTTAAAAGAGATTGCAATAGGTTGCTACAAACGTTCATTTTATTTTTTGTGCTGACTTTTCACTGTTATTCAGAGACTATAACACCAAACAAGGCTATCTTTATGACAAACTTTCTCGACGTATACAGTCAGGAATGCTCCTCATTTTTCATAACCATGATTCGACACAAACAAACATGGAGGTTTTTGTTACGCTACTACGAAATGTTGGAATAACATTCTTCCATTCGTAAAATTAATATATTGGATATCAATAGAGATTATTACCTACTGTGAAATATTAATTGTAATTATTTATGTATTAATATTGTATTTATACTAATTATTATAAAGAAGAAAGATTTGTTTTGTGCCTCGAATCCACTCCGAAAACTTCTGGACCGATTTTAAAACATCTATCACCTACGGGAAGCTACATCATACGTAATAGACATAGACTATATTTTATCTTAAAAACAGTAAAAAAAAGGAAGAAATGAAAGTGGAAGTTTGTATAGGGAATTTAAACGTTACCATGGTTACCATTGTTTTACTATTCAATTTGTCGTTGTAATTATATTCGTGTCATGATATGAAACCTTATCTAAATGAATTAACACATGAGCTACTTTTTATTCCAATTAAACATTTCCCTAGGGACCATGCGGGCGAAGCCACTGGCGAAAAGCCTCTATTTATATAAGTAAATTGTATATCTTTATGTAATGTTAAGTTGTGAGGCATGTCGCACTGTTATTATTTTTTCGGTGTCCTTTAAAATTACCTTCAAGGTTTCTAGAACTTCGCGACATAATATTGGACGGGTGCTATTTCAGATCTAATGTATTTTGTACTTTTTATGTTTGCTAAATAAATAAGTTAAATAATAATAAAACTCCACATACTACAGTAATAGTAACATACATTCATAAAGTCAGCGAATAATATTTATAACTTCATTCGTTGTATCATTGTGCATGAAAATAGCAGGATAATCCAATTTACTGAGATGGAAGACCTCTCTATCGACTTTTTCCCGTTACATCGGTCCTATATAGGTTATTGGGCGACCGAAACCATTCATCACGGTACCACTGGAGTTAATAGGATAGATAAACAAGACGATTAGGCGGTTAATTAAGGTGAATTCCGAGTAGATCTGTACGAATCGAATAAGATTTCTCCTAAATCCTCTGGGCGTGACATTATCGGAAACACGGTGTAGTAATATACTGACAATATTCTACTACCGTCTCAGGTGGCGTTTTTAATTTATATGTGCTTTATATTAATGTAATTTGTTGGGAAATTATTCCCTAATTTTCATATTAACCATAAATAATTTAACTTTAAGTAATTATATCAACGTGTTGCCAATTAAAAAACACGTATCGTTATTTTCGGCACGCACAATTCTCGCTATGCAAATATTTTTTATAGCGATTCATCAAACAATTGAATCGTGAATGAAACAGAATCTAAAAATGAAATAACATTCGGTGAGAATAATTGATTCAAGTTAAAATAGGATTTTGTTTATGCCTTGACATAAATTCGATATGTAGGTATAATAGTAGTAGTTTTTAGTTTTGTATTTTAACTAATGCCTTTCCGATGGACAGAATCACTGATGAAGACTAGCTCACAACCTAACACATGGACTTAATACGGGCTTATTACCGACTAACGTATCTTCCGAAGAACATAGGAGCATACCGGCTTTGCGTAAATACAAACCAAACGCGCTAAGCATTACTTCTTCGAGTTATTTCTAGAAATGTAAAATTTTTATTATAATCAAAATCAATTAGCATTAATATTTGATTCGGCACACAATCTAAATAAGGTAATTTATTTTTCCAGTATCATCCGTCATGTCTTTAGGACGGCTCATGCAAAAAAGGACAAGCATGGCAGTCTTAAGAGTGATGGATGGTTATACTCGTAGTGCGTCATGAGAAAATTAGATGCAAAAACGATATTTTTAGTACTCACCCGACAACGCTTACTTGTTTAGGTATGTAATTTATAAGTTTCCACTCGCGGCTTCGCCCACGTGGATTACATGATTTTTAAAGTTGATTTTTAACGCGTGGAACAATGAGGTAGCCGACATTTTATATGCCGGTATCTAAGCAAAACATAATTCGAATGGCCAATCTTTATAAAATTGTGTAATTTAGTGTTATAATTTATGTGTTTATGTATACGCAACTATAAATAGGTGTTCCATTTCTTATGTGAGTAGAAACTAAGCTTTGTTATACATATCTACTACTAGAATAACAAAATTTAATGAAACTAGATTTTAAATAAAAAGTTGTCATAATAAATATGTATCACACAAAGGTATAATATGTAAGTACATGTATATATATGTATGTATATACATAACTTAAGTAAATCTTAGAAAAAAGCAATACAACTGTGTTAACTGTTGTCAATAAATTTAAAATTTTCTCATACTTAAATAAGATTTAATATTACCTACCTATAAATAACATTGTTTTTCAAAGTTCAAAGAAAACAAATACGTATGTCACAAGGTATTTTATTAATACAATTAAACGTCTTCCTTATTACCACTTAACTACCTAACTATAAGACAAAATTGTAACTGGGATACAGAGAAATAAATAAATTTATTATTATTAATGTTTTATTTTATCTCCTTATGATTATACCGAGGTGCTAAAACTGAACATTTACCTTCTTTAGCGTTCTGTCACCTGACTCCCACCGGCTAATGTAAACACTTAAGGCGAAATTACATTACGAAATTAGTGCAACAAAACAAAAATTCTAAGTTTTACTATGGATGGAATCGAAACAGATCGGATAGGGGGAATGGTCCGTAACCCACCACGCGGGACTAGTGCTAGTGCGGATGCACCCGTACTGGGCAATGACTGCAGATGCAGCCGGGACTGACGGATTATAGTATAAATTGTAAATTCAATAATAGTTAAATAACAAGACTATATAAATTTGCATGCTTAGTAATAGGTGAAACATGATGTACATATCAAGAATTATATCTGTTATCTTATTAACCATGGTCGTGGCAAATTAATAAATGAAATGAAATTAAATGTGCCTTCCGATGCGCGGAAGAGTTCGGGATAATAAATTTTTGGTCCCCTATCCTATGATCGGTGCTTGCAAAATTTGCTTAAAAACCGTATCGAGTGCGCTAATCACTGCACCATTGAGCTACTCAGACCATGTTATCATCTTTTTAAAAATATATATGTTTATATTCACCCTTGGGGGTTAGAGAGACAGACAGCAATTAACGGTAATTAATATTTAAGCTTAGGTACTTGATAGTAGATCGAATTTTGAATAGAGAATTGTTACATTATATTAGACAATAGAAATGAAAACCTCCAAGTCCTATTAAGGAATATTGTACATAATAGCCACAGAGCTTAACAAGATGGTTGAATAAGAACATTGAAGACTTTATACAAGAGTATAAATTCTAAAATCACTCTTAAGATATTATAAATATTACACTGTGAATACAAAAAATAGAAATAAGGTTTTACTCACCATCCATTAAGAGGTACTAGCAGTGGTTTATCGTAGCCGTCGCACCATGCCATAGCGGCTGTAACCAGAGTAGCTAGAACGCCACGTCTTGCTACAGCCGGTCGCAGCCACGCAATTATCTGTACCCACAAAGGTTATATTATAATAGTCAAAAATTCAGACACAATGCGCGCTGTATTTATCGTAAGCACATTATATCTTTTGTAATATACCTATTAGCTAGTCATACACCCAGTTGAACAAACGTCCATTGAGGTTTGATGATGATATTAAACTCTAACGAATGTTCTAAATTTGACATTACGAATATTCTAAATTTGAAAGTTTTTATAGGTAATGTTGCTTTATATTAATGACAAATGGGTATTTCTGCAACTGGATGTTGATATAAACTATTATATCGGAAAAATTTATTGTCCAATGTACATAATGAAATATTTTGTTCGTTGCGGTGGATCAAAGGAAGTTTGAAGTTTTTTCTCGCATAAGAGATATAAGAGTAGTAAGAGATAAAAAAGATAAAAAATGTGATATAGACTTATGATATACATAATGTACATGAAGATCAATGTTCATTAATTGTCAATATAACTATAATTCGTTCATTACTATTAAAATAATAATATTTTTTTTTCAAATTTATTACAGTAAAATTTTGAGTAAAATTTTCGGACTGATGTCTGATAGAGATAATAATGATGAATAAATACGATAATGTCAATAAGAATTAAAAATACTAGTTTTAATATTTAAAATGAGGTTACAAAACTTTTCATTTTTCTTTTTGTCATTTTAAGGACTATAAAATAGTGTAGTTTCACCGCAACATACTTAATTCACGCAAGTGACTGCGACATGTTTGAACGACGTTGCAGAAACAATTTATTGATATCAAGAGAATAGTTTCGCACTACAATAACATTAAAATATAAGAATTTCAGCCAGTTCCACAAACGTCCATTATAATTTTCATTGCCTTAAGTGACATTACCCATACAAAATTCAACATTCATAAGAGCTTAAAAGCGTCATTTATATTAATGAATGTTAGTGCAACTGACCGTTTAATAGTTAAATTTAAGTCTCATCTTACGACGAATAAACGAGTTAAAGGAAAGTACCAACTTTGATTATCATTCTCAACGGGCATAAATTTCAATAATGTCAGCCATTTTAAAAACATAATGCAACATTTTAAAAACCATTCACGTTAAAGTAATATTTTCTTTCGTACAAGATGTCTTGCAAGTACAGATTGTGTGTGGAAGTCGCTAGATATCGTAATTACTTTATGTAAGTTATCGCAATGGACATGCAAAATGGTAACACCTTGTTACAAATGAATTGATGTTAATTAAGGTTTAAAGTTGTTGTTATTAACCTGTGCTCCAAGCTGCATTGGGTCTCTGGTTAATATATCACTGGACTTCCTCACAGCGCCGTAAACTAACTCGACGTCTCGATCCAGAATGTAGCAGCGGACATGTTCGAGAATGCATCTCAGGTATGATATCGTCACTGTTTGCACCTATTTTGAAGAAAGGGATAATCATCGACCCAAAAAAAGTTTATTGGCAAGACCTTTATACTAGTATAATAGCAAAAGTATATTATAATATTGGTTAAGAAAATCACACGTACACAAATATAGGATTCTTGAATGACATAAGCATTGTTACGGAAAGAATCAAAATTAAATTATTCTAAATATTCTAACAGTTACACGTCTAAATTATTCTAGGAGTATTTAGAGTCAAGTAGAGTTCCATAAAAAAACAACTTAACCCTTAATTATGGTTACATGCACGACAAGATCTTTAACTCGTAAGGATATTGAATGTAAAATTTAAAAAACCACACCATATTTTTCGTATAGAACTAGCATCAAGGAAAATATAAAACGAAAGGGGAGAAAAATTACTGCAGTTTCGAAAGCCCTAAAGCTTTTACTGGCTATTAAAAATTCAAACCGATGTCAAACTTTTTTGCGCAGTCGTTTTTGTGGAAATACTTTTAACGTTTACCAAGTTTTTTGCGACATCATAATTGAAACTATAGGAAAAGTTATGAAAAGCACCCCTATAACTTCGATGCCATTTCCCGACAGAAAACTTTGCGAGATTTCAAAAGTTTGTTGGCAGCCAAGACCAATTTTGGCTTAGTAATTTGTCATTGTTAGACAAATAAATCGAAAATAGCTCTAATTTTTAACTTAACCCAAAAAAAAACTTCAATTTGTGTTTGTATTGACGTTATTTAATAGTCACATGTAATGTATCCCTGTTATAAGTTCATTTCAGAATTCAAAATGCAGTTGGACGTGAATAAAACTATGTTACAGCAGAATTGCTACAATTATGAAACATTTTTTTTTACACAGAGGACCCCCTAAATTTCATTCCCTCATGATACTGATTACGCAATTTTTCGAAATATAATCCTGATGCTCGATTTAAATACACTTTTTTGACATTAACAAATACGGTTTCAATTTTTTTATGTTCCCATAGATTGAATTTTTTTCCTCACTTAGCAAGAAATAATTATTAATTTGCCCATTAAAATTTAATTTGTAGCCCGTATCCAATGAGATATTCGTTTATCAACATATTTTATATAAACGTCCTTGCTCGAAGAGACAATCAAAATACAAACAATTAAACATTTTTCTCTTAATAAAAACTTTAAAATACTTATAATTAAACTTACTGCGGCCAGCAAAAAGTCAAAGTTGCAGACAGTCAAGTCTTTTAGCTTGGAGAAATCCCCAGCTAAAAGGAGGTGTAACCACGACTCTTCTACATGTCTCTGAGTGAAGGCAGCTGCTGTTCTACTAGCCGAATGGAACGGTGTCGAGTCAAGAAGAGCATCATCGTCTTCTACACAACCTAAGAATAGAGTAAATATTTGGTATATTTGGTCAGGTTATTGTTGCATATGTTACTTCAAGCATCATAATTGTTGTCTTCACTAATCAAAAATTAAAAATGAGGCTGAATGTATTTGATACAATAATTTGTGTGGCTCGACGTAGGCAGGTATATCTTCGTCAATAAAAGGCCGATTTCAATGGACGTTTTTTGTTTGAAAGGTATTTCTCTAAGGGGTCATTAAAATTTAAAAGGTATTTACACTCAATTGCACAAATTGTCTATAAGGTTTAATGACGAGTTGATGCTGAATGAATGTTCCAAATTTGAAAATTCAAAGTGGTAATGTTGCATTAAACAAATGATAATTTAAATGAATATTGTTGTAACTGAATTAATGAATATTTGTTGTATGAGACAAGAGCAATCGTTCTTCTTACTGGAAGATTAAGTTCCAGTTTGGTTTTTTACTAAAATATTTAAAAAAATAGCTAAAATTACTATTAATAACTATAAAAATGGTTATCATATTCAAAAATCTTCTTATAGAGTCCTTCAGTTACCTTATTCTCGTATTACCATAGATATTTTACTACTATAATAATACTATCATTAATGTGTAGTAAGTTAATTATGACTCAATTTCAAAAGTGGTTAAAAAAATCAAGTATTGCACTACATAATACTTAAAGTTTTAACCGACTCCAAATAGGACGTTTTTAAAATAAATAAAAATAAATATTCTGTTGAATCGAGGCGGTCGAGGCTACTTGGTAAAATATCTATATTTACGATAAGACTTAAAACTTTCTAGTTTTATTTTTCACTTTTATTCCGAAGCCCTTTTTATAGTGCATTGTTAATTTTTTTTGGTTTTATAAAGGTCAGAATCGAATTAACCTCATCAATTAATCCCATTTAAAGTCTATACGCAAATTTAAGAGTAGGAACCAATTATTTTAAGATAGAATTTATTGCTAATGAAAGGGGAGCCGTATTGAATAAGGATGGGTCGGTAAAGAACAATTTAGAATTTATTAGAATCACAATTATTTCAAGCGATGTAAATTATAGCTTTCATCGAGCATAGACAGCGCCTTCTATTTTAGAAGGCGTAACAGTTTTATCTTGAGCCTTGCCTTTGGCCTAATTAATAAGATTATATTCAAGCTAAACTAAGTTTCAAAAAATATTCTAACTATAACATTTTATTCCTTCGTAACTAAAGGAGTGAAATTTGTTTCATTGCATCAATTTCACTGGAAATTTCACATGTAATCTCTAGTTTGATGACAATTTTGTTTATTAGTGTATCCAATTACTGAAGAATTTTAAACACGTATTTTTTATTTTTTTTGTGTCACGAATAAATAGCGGAAATACATTGAGTTGGAGTGTCCATGTTGATGTCACGCTTTGTAAGTGTCACGCATTTAATATTAAAAAATAGAAATGCGTATCTACTATTACTATTTTTTTATAAACTAAATAGAATTTACTTTTTTCACGCAGTCATCATCCCTATTTATAGTTCAATTATTTACTATAAATAAAGCACGGAAACTATGAACTATCTGTTAGCACTGATATCTGAGGAAGACATTGCACTAATAATATTGGACTTTAGGTAGATAATACAATGATAAAGTGCATGTTGTTAAGATTCCATTGAGATGCAATAGTACATAAGAGATATTAACTGTACCAATATAAATAATAATTAAAAGGAATTATAAGAAGTAGGTATGCAAATGTAAAACACGAATCAGGGGTATTAACACAACTCACCCGGTTCTTGGGCATCTGATGTGTCTGTGTCGTCGGTATCATTCAGGAAGTGTGCGAAATGTAATGCTGCTAAATCTGAATGTGCATCTCTGAGTGCCGCTTGTACGCGTACGTATCGTCGTCTAGCGCGCGTGCCCGCTCCTCCTGCCGCCCACCGCCACGTGCACCGACCAGATACCACGCTCTCCGTTATCAAAGACTCTAGCAAAAATAAATCATCATGAGCCTATTCATGGGCGTAACCACAGTGGAGCAAGGTTTGGTGACCCAACTTTAACCCTGACTTCAAGCTATACAAAAAATAATAAAAATCAACAAAATTTGAGCTCACTAGCTCAATTTTATTTAAATAATTTGCCAGAATATCCGCAGACTTATTAAAATAAGGTTATCATTAAAAAGCTTTTGAAATTTACATCATTTATCGAGTTTGGCACTTTATCCCAAGGTATGCTCATGAGCTTATAAATGTCTCTATTGCTAGAATCCTAGGCGTAATGGCCGTCCCTTTGAATATAAACAAAGTGTTTACAGTGCGGATTGGTGAGTGTTATCGACTGTTGTAACCGGAACTAACGGTCTAGCGTAATGGCTTCTAAATGACGTAGGAACTGATCACTCGATCACGATCTTTATTTCGAAATCGCAGACCAAACGTTAAACATCGGACTATTGAGCTCCCAAGCATATTTCGGTGACCTAATTTTAGCGTGCCAATGGCGTTAGCGTTATAAATGTTCTTATTTAATGTGTGGTTTTAAATCCAACACCGTAATCATTTATCTGCAATGTAGCTGAATGGTAGTTACAAAACAAACTCATTGCAAACTAAATAATGAAATTCTAAATTGCAGTAAACGTTTGATACAATCGATACCTAACAAATCGTCAAATTAAAATACGTTATTTAACGTCTTTAAAAATTTGAAAACATGATTTATATTGTCTTCAGATGTGTAACAAGCAACAGTAGTCATATTTTAAGCATTTTACATAAAACCTCGTTCGCAATAGGATTTCCGAAGCAAATTTAATTTCGATGATTAACAAAGCAAAGATTTATAAATATCCACATAAAATATATACTATTGCTACAATGATGACTGAATCAAATGCCATGGACTGATATTATACTTACTCATTAAATACTTAGCAACGCACAGAGTTGAAAAATTGAAATTGGCGTCCTTCAGTGTAATGACGGCATCACTATTACTTGTAGGCATCAATAGCTCTAGCAGTTCCAATTCCGTCAGACCAAACTCTGAACAAGTTATGTAACCTAAAATATAATGGGAAAACTTTAGGGCGTAGAAACAACTTAGGTCACATTGTACGATAGGAAAGTTTCAAAGTAAAATTAAAAATGACATGAAATAAGATTGATTTGGATATACTAAATGTTCTGTATCTATATTTATTATTAGAATAAATATTTTGAATGAATTTGGGTCTAGATAAATTATCACCTTATAATATTAAGTCACATTAAAAATATAAAATTTATACAAGTCTTTTTAGAATCTGTTCGATTTCCTCATAGTTAAAAGTATTTAGCAACTCAATCAACATTTTACAGTCATGACTTTTAAAGTTATCAAATAATTCTAATCATTAATACTTACTTGCTAATTTACTAAACGCTTTAGTACCGAAGATTGATTCTAAATTATCAAAGGCACCATCGATATAATCCCCGTAACTATTATTATCAGGAGTTTCCTCAATAGCATCTAATAAGTAGTAACAGTTTTGAACTTTAAACTTCTCCTTTTGTGCGGGCGTCAGTTGAAGTTGCTCCAAAGATATCGCACTCGTACAAACAAGGAACACATTTCGAGGCAATGACATTGGCAGCCACGACAGCCCAGTCACTATATCACATTCTAGAGGATTAACTCTATGCACATTGTCTATAAATATTAACAGTATTTCATTCTCCATATCTTCACATCTCCTCAGTAAACTTTGGAACCAATTGTTTATATACAAAGGATCGAAACTCGCGTCCTTCGGCAAATAACCCTCTGGAATGTTCAAAATTATTGATATCTGTTGGCACATCACTCTCAATAGCTCCAAATTGTAGGCCGATCTTGGTGTAGAAGCCGAAAATCGAATCACCCGCAAAACAGGTTTGGGGAATATTTCTTCGCATTTGAAATAAAGATGCGTCAATAAAGTGCTTTTTCCTGAAGCATCAGGTCCATAAATTAAGACTGGGGGATGACGAGTCCGATTATCATAATTCTCTTTAGCGTTACTAAGTATACTCTTGGCGGCGTCTTCAATTTGTTTAACGGTAACTTTATACATTCGGTTATGTTCTATGCATATTCTAAGATGAGTGATGTGTTCCAAAAATACTTCCTGCGAACGATGAACGATAAATGAAAACTTTTGATGAATGAGACGGTCGAAATTCCAAGATGGGATAAAGTTATTTCAATTAGCACGAAGTTTGCAACCTTAATAGGCGCAATTTAATACACAATTTCAGAATAGTTTGAAAGTTTACGATAACATTATAATGAACACGTTCTATTGAAGTTTTTATGTGTTTAGACAAATGTCGTATAAATTCCAAAAAATATTATGAAAATCGTTTATCTGTAGCCAAATATCATAAATGAAAAAAATATATATTCATTTTATTATTAACATCTGTCTAGATAGTTAATTTATTAAAACGCATAAAACAATCGTTCATTCCTATTGTAGCTCGCGAAGCAAACCAAAAAGTACTTTTATGATAATGCATAATTGCGTTATTAACGTTCCTCAAGTAAGGGTGGTGGATCGATTCTACATATAGACATTTAAACCTAACATAAAGCTTTATATTTCAAAATCAATATGATCTCGTTGCTTTACAGCAAAACTTTGAACGTGAGTTATCAGCAATTCAAAATAGACTTTCCAATATGTTTGAGAATTGATTTCCAATAGTCTTTAATGCGTTCAACAGCGAACAGCGGCTCACCGCCGTTTTTAATTTAATCGACATATTTCAGTTACGGAAAAATTTACAAGCATTTATTTGCATTGAACGTATATGGAATATTACAAAATATGGAATATCATACTTTAACAGTTATTGTACTGAAAATATTAAATATATCACTTTATTAACACTTGCCTGTACAGTCTTTTTTCGTCCTTTACCCTGATCTGGTTCAGTACTTAGGCTCTCGTCCACCAGCGAACTAATGACAGCCTGGACTTGTTCCCTAAAGGGCGAAAGTTTCTCCTCGTTGTCTGATGCGGCGTCTGTACGTGACGAATCTGCTGATAACGACCTAAAAAGAAACGTTTGAAATATACTCAAGGTAAATATTTATGCAAAAGTAAATTTTATAGCTTGAAAGCCTGAGTAAAGTTTGAATCCTACAAAATGTAAACCAGGTTCTGTAAAAATCATAAAATATAGAATAAAAGATAGTGATTACCAGATCATAGTACCGGCACAGGTAAGAACGATAGACTAGGTACCATGAATTTTAAATCATCGTTTACTAACCTAAACCTGTGAAATCTATGGCATGTACTAGTTAGCATATTTATATGTAAATTCAATTACTAATCAAATAGCTTTTTCTTGACTTAAGACTTATTTTCTAAGTTGATTCGTCAATTGCAAATTATTCAAAATGACTCTTGATGAATTGCAATTGTTAGAGCCCCCTTAATTAAGCTGAATCAACTATTCATTCAAAATTCAAACACATTTTAAACGGTTTAATAAATCAACCGTTAGCTAAGCATTCAACGTTTTCTTAATAGAAGGAAGTGCAAAATCATCTGTTGCTTATTTAGGTATTGTAAATTTTATTTCCCAAGTAAATAACATGTAAAACAATTTATATTACATGTTCTGTGTGTCCAGGGTCTAACCAGAAAAATTAAAACTCTGGTAATACAAAAGAATACAAAATATGGAACTCATTTTACTGATCATGAATATTGATGAATTCTAGAATAAGCGACTTAAACTATCCAACAATTAAAACCTTATCAAAATCAATTACGTAATTAAAGATGAAACAAGATACAAAATAAATATATACTCATCTATTAAGTGATAGTAAGACAGAACGTATAAATTAATAAATCCCAAAAGGATAACCTAGCTAATTAGATGGTAACATTGGGAGGTTCTTTTCCTAAAAACATTGATCCTGACCAGTGGTCTGTTAGAGAAGGGGAAGGCTGGCTTCCAAAGCCGTCCGGAGGAGGAGCGCAGGCGCCATGAGGGTACTTTTAGGGACGTGGGATGGCTGGTCTACAAGACTAGCGGAACAGGTGTGTGTGGTAGAGGTGGTGTCACCTCCTGGTGACTTTTGTTGTCAGCGATGGTGGCGTCGCAGAGTCGCAGCAGATCGTAGAGGGGGGAAAGATATACCAATAGCGCGTCTCTTCCTTCTAAAGGAGCAGATCAGATGATAGACATCCATTTGGTCATTGCAAGACCCCGACTTTTTGGGAGGAGGCTCTGATACACGCGATTGTCCTCCGTTGTGAGGGTGGCCTTCGGCCAGAACAAGGGCTGGGTGTGGAGCACTCCTTGCTGGATCCTAGACTCTTTTCTCAAAAGAAAACGAGTGCACGGAGAGCGTTTAATGGGTATCCGCGTTTTGAGTAGAATTCGGGTGGGTACGTGCTGGTGGAGAGTTCCACACACCTCCTGCAGCCTGACTAGTGGCGGGGATGGTTAGTAAAGCATTCCCCTACGTTAAAAAAGGGTAAGTTCATATCGCTCTTGTAATATTTAATGTTATTTTAAAATAAAATTATCACGTACTCCAATCTCACGATGTGATTGTCTGGTAAGGCATCTTCAAGTTTCTGTTTCAGTTTTCTTAATCGTTCATGTGCTAATACTGTGATCTTCGAGTCGTCATTTTCCGGTTCAACCATATCTCGTATTACCGCTACGATGCCTTTTGGGTGATTGCCAGTTTTCATTAAGTCTGAAAACAAGATCTAGTCATCATAACCATACTTGTATATTTGCCTTAAACATTGTATAAAGGTCTTAAACTTTGTACAATATTCATATTCACTAATAGCTAAGCGTAAAAATGATTATAATCGAGTTGTACGAGTTACAAATAAATTCATAGCTATTCTATTTTAGGTGTGAAGGACATCGTGATTCCAATATAATTATTGAAAATAGGAATAAGTAGATGCATTTACTGAAAACTACAGATATACATTTGATACAACTTTGCAGCATATCTAAATATATCATCGTAATAACTAATGTATGATATATAAACAATCGGTAGACTATTTTTTTAATATTTCATAAAACAAATTAGTGATGGTGATTACCGTTACATCACACTCCCCGTTTTAACTTTTACACATCAATGAACACTTTTCATAAAAATGCTTATGTAATATATTAAGCAGCTGAGTGGTCCCCTGACTTAATTACATGGAAACAACGTGCGACGTAATGTCGTTTCAGTAAAGTATTCGCCATTACTCAGGTCATTTCTAACTTGGGGTTAGCTAAATCATTGATCTAGTTTAATTGCTTTTACAGGTTATTTTTATGAAATTACTAGCTGACCCGACAGACTTCGTCCTGTCAAAAAGATTTGTAATGTGGCAGTTTTTTTTGCCTACGTGTTTAAAAAAATTCTGCGTGCCGAAACTAATACAAAAGAAACGCGAGTTTCGGAACGCGACATTAAACTCCTCCAACTATGTATTCTGTGCTCCAACGCACACACGCACATTGTTTTGATAGATATGATCTTTGACGTTAGGAACACACCTACATTGCTTAGACAACAGTGAGTGCTTGTAATTTAATATGAACTTTATACCATAGCAATAAAGCTCAAATTGACTACGTTTTAGTTACAAATCATTTGTATGGGAAAAAGAAAAGGGCTATTTTTAGGGTTTTTCCAGCAATAATTCTAATTTTTCTCGCCGTAAAAACCATCCTTGAACTTCAACGAACATTTTAAAAGAAAGATTTGGCCAAATTGGTCGAGGCGTTGTTGAGTTATGCGCTTACCAACACATTTTGCGATTCATTTTTATATATATAGATATGCTAACTATGCTATACTGTTATTTATACCTCTAAAAATAGCAGAAACGTCTATTTAGATTTAGGGACGAATTCAAGCTCTAACGAATATTCTAAATTGAATATATGTATCGATAAAGTCGCTTTAAAACTATTGACAATTTTAATGAATGCTTGCGAAACTACAGCATTGGAACATATTTGTTAAAAATACTGAAAAAATTCCACAATCGCAGGTGATCGTGATGGGATTCGTTACTATATTCTTTCGCGTTTAGCGACTGCTCTAATCAACTGAGTTAACCAAGAACTCAATGAAGCATTTGTTAGTTTTGCTACTAGTAAGCGTATTTTAAGGAAAATTGATCATATATATTGAATTTTCACTGTCTCGGTCATCTTCAAGAAAGACTTGAACTCGTGACCTTTTGCTCATCGAGTGACTGCTCTTCCAATTGAGTTATCAGAGCTCTTCTTAATCAGACTGTGGAATTTCAATTTCAAAGATGATCGATGAATGGATGGGTGATTCGGTTAAGATTAATCGAAAGTTGAAATATTTGTAATAATATTTCTTTAGGTTGTTCTGACAGTTTATACAAACATTGATGTTATTAATACTCTTACTAGCAACGATAATAACGAGTGCTTGATATATTCGATGGCCTAGCTCTGTTAGAAGAGTTACCTATACTGCGAAAAGTCATTGGCTCGAGTCCTGTCTGGAGGAAATTATTAAATTATTTTCATTGAGGTAGTTTTAAAAATACAGTCAATAATATTGTGTATATATGAAATTTCGGAATAATAAATATCTAATTGACGGCAATATTTTATAGAAGTACCGAGTATTGTTACCATCTCAAATTCTGAATTATGTTCTGTATCTGCAATGCACTGGTTTCATACAATTATCGGCATATTTTGTACTTAGTATTTCAACTCTAGTTTTATATCATACCTAGAGCTAGTTCACACTGGTGTTCCATTGGACTCCGTAACAAGTTTGTGATATCAGCGTCCTCCGTTAGTGCTTCAAGTGCTAGAGAGTTGAATGCCTTCTGAACTTCAGACAACCGGGCCCTCTGCTCATCGCGATCCAGTAAATTACTATACCTGAGAACGAAAAAGATCTATTTAAATTGTTGATGCGATATTCAATAAAATAGCAATTAAATAATAGAAGTGTTTAGTTTTAAAGACTCATTTTATGATAAAGTAGATTAAGCAACTTTTGGATAGGTGGGTTATCAGATATGTGGTCTTTTTCTTTTTTCTATAGGTTTTATAGAAAAAAGAAAAGGAAATTCTTAACTATATATATTCCTTCATATCTAGTAAGTTTTTCTATTATTAATGTTTTCACTACTAGAAACAGTACAATCTAAGTAATTACACCGCCTATGTCAAGATTACTTGTGAAAATGAACCCACAAACAGACGTTGATAAATTAACTTCTGTCGCTCTAGTTTATTCTTAATCTTGTGACGTGCGATATGAGAAAAATTACATAATAGTACTTACGCTGGTTTGAAATGTTAAGGGCCAGTTTCACTGCTGATTAAGTCCCCGATAGCCTATCAGAAACTAATCTGCCAGATGAATTGCAAATTTTGGTTTCACAAGTCTCAGATAAATCTATCTGTCGGGTATATCAGTGATTTTTAATTGTCAGATAGAGTTATTTCTTATATACCTGTCTAGAACTTTATCAGCAAGTGGTGAAACAGGTCCTAAGATTGTAGAGTTTAAGATACAGATCTGTCTATCTATATGTTCACGTTGTGGGGTAGGCAGAGAGGACAGAGTGTCACATGGTATGGTCATTACATAAAGAGCTGCTCTTTTTATATAGGCAAAAAGACCCCCGACACAATATAATAAAAAAATTAAGTAAAAAGCTTTAAAACAAATTAAAGAAGCTATGACTTAATTGTCCACAAATAATGTAAAAAAGGATAAACGTGAAACCCTTAAAAAAAAATAACCTTGACATTATGACCCTACATAATTACAGACAACAGCATGTCTGACTATTTCACTTTGAACTTTGCGCTAATATTGAACTGCAAGTACCTTAACCTACTGTTGACCGTACATATTGTTATAGACAGAGTAAAACAAATATTTAAATGAATTATAGATTATTTATTTGATGCACACCATACTATCGGAAGGTGACAATTACAAGAGACTATAAAAAATCTTATAACAATAGAACATCGTAATTAGGTTCTATATTAATAATAAACCTATTTGGTTATTTGTGTTTGGTATTAAACAGATTGGGGGCCTAAGCCAAAACTTAAACATAACCCTTTTTTTTAAATTAATTACTCAAATATTTAAAAATTATAAATTAAAATATTAATCTTCTAAAGGAAAAGGACAAACTTTCATTAAACTAGTTCTTATAATAGAACCTTTAGAAGTTTTTACATAATGCTTTAATTTTGCCATCTTTACCTGGTAATACATTAACTATACGCCCAACTGGCCAATTCAAAGGAGAAATATTATCTTCTTTTAAAAGAACCATTGTTCTTACATCTAAATTAGGTTTATTACCTTTCCATTTCGGGCGACTTTGTAACATTACTAAATATTGAGAATGCCATTGTTTCCAAAAATGTTGCTGCATTTGAGTACACTGTTTCCAAAAACTCAATTTACCTACATTTACATTTGTTAAATTTAATTCAGGATAAGCCACTAAAGAGGATCCCGTGAGAAAATGTCCAGGTGTCAAATATGACTTATTTATCATCCTGGTCTCAAGACATGGGTGTCAAGGGCCTCGAGTTTAATATACTCTCAATCTGAACTAATACAGTATACAACTCTTCATATGTTAGAACAGAATTAGCAACTACACGTTTAAGATGAAACTTAATACTTTTTATGCCAGCTTCCCATAACCCACCAAATACAGGCGAATAAGATGGTATAAAACGAAATGCTATTCTTTCTGAATTACAATAATCAAATACTTGATTTTAGTGGTTACCAGAATTCTGCATTTCAAATAGTTCATTTAATACATTATTTGCACCATTATAATATGCAGCATTATCACAATATATTTTTGGAGGCTTATTCCTACGAGATACAAATCTTTTTAAACATGCTAAGAATGTATTAGTTGTCATATCTGACGCCAATTCTATATGAATGGCTTTTGTAGTGAAACAAACAAAAATTACTACATAAGCCTTAGTTATAACAGGCTTACGAATTCGACTTTGCTTGATATAAAAAGGACCTGCATAATCAGTCCTACTATTTGAAATGGACGAGTAATATTGACTCTATCTACAGGCAATGCACCCATCAATTGAGTAGCTGCTTTAGCTTTCAACTTAAAACAAATTATACATTTATGTAAAACAGACTTAATTTCTCTATTAGCATCAATAAGCCAATATTTATCTGATAGACTACTAAGAACCAACTTTAATCCAGCATGTTTGAGTCGTAAATGTTCTTTTAAAATAATTAATCTAGTTATAAAAGATTTCTTAGGCAAAATAATAGGATAGCATTGTGAAAAAGGTAAGTTGGAGTTACTTAATCGTCCTCCCACTCTTAATAAACCTTCAGAATCAATAAAAGGATTTAAATTATTCAAATTAGACTTTAACTCAACATTTTCTTTTAAAGATTGAATTTCTTTAGAAAAATACTTTCTTTGCTCTAAATTTATAATAGTATATAGGGCAAAAGTTAACTCTAGTGGACTCAAATTACCTGTACACTTAGCCGTATTTTGCTTACAATTATTTATAAACCTTTTTATGTAACAAAATATAATTGTTAACTTTTCAATATCAGAAAACTTTTCTAAAATGTTTTACAATGAATTCAAATTATTATTACATGCATTACAAGTCTGTCAAACTGTTTTAACTTCTGGTAATTCAGAAGAAATTGGTTTCACAATTTCATTATTAGAGTGTGTATATTCATTATTCAACAAAAATTCAGGACCATGAAACCAAAGCTGACCCAATTTAGTTTCACACATACTTGGAGACATACCCTTTGCTAAAATATCAGCAGGATTATCTTTTGATCTTACATAAAACCATAAAAAGTTTTTTGTTAATTTCTTAATCTTTTGCACTCTATTGGCAACATACATATTTAATCTTACTGGTTCAGTCTCTAACCAAGCAAGTACTATCTGTGAATCCAGATATAAAAATGTTTTTACATCATATTTTAAAGATAATGTCTTATGAACTTTATGAACAAGTAACGCTAATAACAAAGCACTATTCAATTCCAATCTAGGAACAGTTAAATTTTTATCTTTAGGGTTAATGCGACTTTTAGAACATAATAAATTAACTTTTACATTACCACTTAAATCTATAATTCTTATATATAAACAGCAACCATAAGCAATATTAGAAGCATCAGCAAATCCAACTAATTCAAATTTACAACAGGATTTTATATTAATATTACGTGGTATTGATATACACGACATTTCTACCAACTCCTTTGCAAACTCAAACCATTTTTCATTAAGTGAATTGGGTAATACATATATCATCCCATTTTAGGTTAGCATACCAAATTTGTTGCATAATATATTTAGCTTTAACTAAGATAGGTCCAATCAAACCTAACGGATCAAAAAATGTGCTTATAAAACTTAATACTTGTCTTTTAGTATAATTATTTAACACCTCAGTCTTAGGACATTTTATGTTTAATGTCACCAACATCATAACTCAATCCCAATGTTTTTATACATTGATTATTTTTCTCAAAATTAATTTCTTTAAAAGTACATGACTTAGTAGGAATATCTTTCAATAAATCTTTGTGATTCGAACACCACTTATGTAATTCAAAACTACCTTCTTGTAATAATAAAATTAACTGATCTTTAATATTAATAATTTCTGACCAATCATTACTCCCACATAGGACATCATCAACATATGTAGAATGTTCTAGAACGAAAGAAGCTAATGGATATTCTTATCTTTTTTCATTAAGTTCATAGTTGAACTATCATTAAGCGATTGTGTCTGAATATGTAGTAATGAATTATGTGCTTTTTTACAAATTGAACAATTTATTTTCATTATACATTTATTTTTATGAAAATTTAAACAAACTATGCATAAATTATTTTTGTTTACAAAATCAACTCTTTCTTTAGGATTACATAGTTTAAATTTAGCACATTGATACAATCTATGATCAAAGGCTTGACAAAACTTACATGATATCACTGCAACTGCACCACTAATCATCTTGGGCCTAGCAGCATTTCTCGGTTGATGTATACTAAACTCTTCAGAGTTTTCTATAGCTACAGTTTCATTATTTGTTTCATTATTATTTCATTATTAATTACCTATAAGTTAGTTCATATTGTTGTATATAGGTTTTTACGCCAGATAACTTAGATAAAATTTATCATCTCAGTCTCAGTCGTAAGCGTTTTGTTTGAATGTCAGTCATGGAAACAAATAATGAAACTGTGGCTAAACTTATATCTCATCGGGGATATAATAAAGGTATTATAACGCGTATTAACAACTTTGTCATATCTAATAAATTGAGTGAATATACATATGAAGCTCTTCAAGAAAGGCGAGCGCGTCTTGTGGAGGCCTATCAAGAATATGAAAAATTAAACATTGAAATACTATCGTTTAATCCAGATGATAAAGAAGACTATGAAACTTATGAGAGTAAGTACTTCAATACTAAATCTATATTAGATAGGCATTTAAAAAATTCGGCCATTGAAATCGCTCCTAAGAGAGATTTCAGTAATTTACCTAAAATTAGTTTGCAGCCCTATAATGGTAAAAATATAATTGATTATTATCCCTTTATAAATATGTTCTTATCAGTAATTGATAAAGACCAAAAGTTAAGTTCATGTGAAAAACTATATTATTTACGCTCATTATTGCAGGAGGAAGGTTGCTAATTCTGTTCTAACATATGAAGAGTTGTATACTGTATTAGTTCAGATTGAGAGTATATTAAACTCGAGGCCCTTGACACCCATGTCTAGAGACCAGGATGATATGTCATATTTGACACCTGGACATTTTCTCACGGGATCCTCTTTAGTGGCTTATCCTGAATTAAATTTAACAAATGTAAATGTAGGTAAATTGAGTTTTTGGAAACAGTGTACTCAAATGCAGCAACATTTTTGGAAACAATGGCATTCTCAATATTTAGTAATGTTGCAAAGTCGCCCGAAATGGAAAGGTAATAAACCTAATTTAGATGTAGGAACAATGGTTCTTTTAAAAGAAGATAATATTTCTCCTTTGAATTGGCCAGTTGGGCGTATAGTTAATGTATTACCAGGTAAAGATGGCAAAGTTAGAGCATTAGATGTAAAAACTTCTAAAGGTTCTATTATAAGAACTAGTTTAATGAAAGTTTGTCCTTTTCCTTTAGAAGATTAATATTTTAATTTATAAATTTTTAAATATTTGAGTAATTAATTAAAAAAAAGGGTTATGTTTAAGTTTTGGCTTAGGCTCCCAATCTGTTTAATACCAAACATAAATAACCAAATAGGTTTATTATTAATATAGAACCTAATTACGATGTTCTATTGTTATAAGATTTTTTATAGTCTCTTGTAATTGTCACCTTCCGATAGTATGGTGTGCATCAAATAAATGATCTATAATTCATTTAAATATTTGTTTTACTCTGTCTATAACAGAGCTAAAAATGGTCCTTCATCGTGAGTTTTACCAGTTTGTGTTCTATAAACACTGAGAAGGAAATTTTTCAAGAAGAAGAATTTTGTGATTATTTATAACGCTGTGCTGTGGAAGAACGCCCAATAGGCGAAGATACTATATTTAAAACCTCAAGTGGAATCTCAGACGGCGTAAAAAAGTATTTTATTCTGCTAAAAAAAAATCTAAGAGAAGGCGATCAAGACATACAAGGTTTCTATTACCATATAATATGTTTTAATTTGGCCGCCATATTTTGTCAATAAAATCATTTATCTATAAATAAATATCGTTGCTATGATACGAGAACGGTGCTCAGCGGAAGCGGATCTGTGTTGACTGCATATTACTCTTTGGTCGACTGTGAACGTTGTGCAGCGACGGCAGCGACGTGTGTGACAGCCTTACTGCGTGGAAAGTAAAGTACCGTGTGTGAGCTGACGCCATCTTTACGTAAACGTCAATTAAGAAATCTATTTGATTTTTTCCGTTGTGATTTTGCAAACTGTTCTTTTACTTATTATTTACAGTGTAAATACCTATAAGTTAGTTCATATTATTGTATATAGGTTTTTATGCTAGATAATATAGATAAAATTTATCATCTCAGTCTTAGAATCTCTTAAGTGTTTTGTTAGAATCTCAGTCATGGAAACAAATAATGAAACTGTGGCTAAACTTATATCTCATAGGGGATATAATAAAGGTATTATAACGCGTATTAACAACTTTGTCATATCTAATAAATTGAGTGAATATACATATGAAGCTCTTCAGGAAAGGCGAGCGCGTCTTGTGGAGGCCTATCAAGAATATGAAAAATTAAACATTGAAATACTATCGTTTAATTATTATTATTAATAATAAACCTATTTGGTTATTTATGTTTGGTATTAAACACATATGAATTTTTTTTCTTAAATGTTGTCGCGTCGGGGGACCGAATTTTTTTTTCTTAAATGTTGTCGCGTCGGGGGAGATGACATGGCATTAACTGTTTTCAACATGTCCAGAACGTTAAAATAATGACTTCGGGACTTTTTGGTTCTTTGAACTAAAAATTCATTCGCGGTAATTATAAGTACATAATTCTGTGGTTAACAGCATCCAAAAAGTTTCTTTTGTCATTGGAAAAATTTACTCTTTAATCGGTTTATTTACATTAGCTTTTTTATTGTGTTGTAATTTTTTTATGAGCGTCAAACAATGAAGCCCAATGGTGGAGCCATTGGGCTCCATTGTTTGGCAAGGGTGCCAAATTTTATTAAGCTAGCGCTATTTACATACATCTTTCGCCTCCTCCGCTTTTATGCTCGCTGGTTTTTATGGCAACACCTTCTAACAACACGCGATTTTTATGATTACGTAAATAAATAATGTTTGGGTATCAGAAGACATGTGAAATTTTAGACCCTGGTTATTTATTATCAATCTAGTGATTATTCCGCCAAACTTGGGACTTCACTCTCGTTTCATCGGATAGTTTTGCGGTAGGTCTGGTACAAGTTTTTGCTACTAAGTAAGACGGTTTATTGTTACCACTTAATTAGGATTTCAGTAAAATGTTGTTTAGATTAGTATTCTTCTATATTGACATAATAATTATATGAGATATTTTAGCGTTCAGTATCTGCCTTTAAAAGAAGATACGGATCTTATTTAGTGGATGACTTTTTTTGTCTGTTTGTTCTGTCTTATCTTATTTACATTGTAAGTATCTACTGGAACAATTGAGTTGAATTTTATCAACGTCAAATTACCAGGTATCGAAAAGTAATGGTACATTAGAAAATAATAAAAAATGCAAACTCTATCATGTTACGTATCAAATGAAACAGATTTTTGCTAGAATCGATAGAAAGTTATATTTTTTCTAAAGTTATAAGACATATATTTAAGAAAATATATAAAAAATTATCACAATTTCTCAGCAATCTCCAAAACAACTGGGCCTAAAATATTGTAAAATATAAAAAATATTTTTTTAACAAACATATTATCTATACGAGTGTGTGCTAGTATAAATTAATAGCTAAGTTAATTTATTGTACACAAATATTTCAAAATTGCCTTATCTTTTTACACCTTTCCAATAATAATATAAACGCACTTCTCCGCAGGTGAGTCGTCATGAGTGCGATTGAGGCCTTTAGATAAATTATATTTTTTACGATGCCACTGAGTAAACGAGTTCTGCGAATATATAAATAAGCGTAAAACATTTTTACCTAAATTGATAAAACGAAGTGTATGATCAAAGTGTTTCAACAAATATTATTGGGTACAGATGAACGGAACAATAGAAGAGATTTGCCTTAAAGGGATGAAATCGTCTGCGGGCACTTAGGTGCGGAAGGAGGATAAATTGTCTCCAGACATGGAGGGCCGCTTTGATATTTTTTGTGTTTCACGCTCTTTACGTAATTGGGTCAGCGCTTTCATGTTGAGGTATGTAGCTTTTAGAAGAAACCAGGGAGAGTTTGCCACGAGTAGCGAGGGTTCAGTGCGAATATTAAATTTTAAAAACTACTGACTTTTTATAATTTTTTCTGTAATTTAAGGAGATTTAACTTGATTTGATTTAGATAGGGCGAGGTGTGAAGTGGATAATACCCACTGAAAATTTTTACTTTTTTAGAATAAATGAATTTGATAGCACTTAATTGGCATAAGTGGTGGGGACAGCACAGGTAATGCTTATACCTTCCCTATTGATAAAATTATCATCATCAAGAGAACGACTCATACACACCACGTGGGCTCTGTGGTTAATAATTGCCTTGGAAGGTAGTTATGATAAAGCAGCACGAACACGAAAACTAAAGATACCTTGAAAATTTTGGTCACCAACCTTTTAACCTTTGCGAAAATTGTTTAACCTCCGCAACTACAGACCTTACGCGCTAACCATTGCGCCGTCGAACTCTTAAGTCACAGCTTTTATAATAAAATATCTTCATGAAGCATTTTGTTTATTTCTTTGGGTGTTACTTCACTAACCGATAGATTGTCCAGTGAGGCAGTCGATCGACGGTAAGTTGGAATCGATCGACACTTTCGCCGTGATCGATCAGCGGTCGATCAATAGGGATGACGCCGTGGTTAAAAAAATCCGTCATTTAGATAATAGGTAAATATTAGATTCGTATTTGTATTGGTTAAAGTTAACATGAAACTACTTTGATAAAAGCAATAAAGTTGAGAAGTATGTCACATTACAAATATGGAGCAAATCAATACAAATGTGTCATGTGACATTTCAATTCAATGTAATACCGTTATTCATTTTCTAAAATGTTTTAGTCTATAATTTATAATTTATCGCATGTTATCCGTCGTTCAGCTAAAACTACCACACCGATCGATCAAAGTCGACTGATATCGATAAAGGGCATCAATAGACAATCGTTCAATCGGTATGTTAACATCATTACACTTACCATTTATCATCGCCTTCCAATTGATAGTTGCCTTCATCATTAAGTCTGTAACAGGCTTGCACTAACTCTGCTTGGGCTGATTCTGATTTCACCAATTGCTCGAACGTTGCCTCTGGTATAGTGAATGGCAGCACTGGTTGGTAGAAGGACGCATCACCACCGATGAGACACTAGAAGAGAAACCATATCTTAAATCTTCTTTGATTTTAACGGCTTTTTTTAAATACTTCGATCATTGACTAAAAGCATGATCTTTAGTATAAAGATCATACTTCTTGGTTTATCTTATTATTTGTAACCTACTTCAAAATTCAAAAGGCGGAGGTTATATGTTCGACGGCGATATATGTTTTATATGTATGTTCACCGATATTTCCACTAATCGCTGGTCGATTTTCAAAATTCTTTTTATTCGACATTTTAATTTTATCGAAATCCAATCAGCAGCTTTCCTTTTATAACAAAATAAAATACGCTTTTCACGAGATATTAGCTAATTATTTAGATGATACTATAATATATGTGATATTACCATTTATTTCGGTTAAGAATCTTATTTATTTGTATAGTATTAGTTACGTGTATTTATTTAGAGTATTTAATAGAGAGAGTTTTAAATTCGTTCATAATTCGTTAGTATATTTTTTATGAAAGTAAATACCTACTTCATCGACTTTTACTAGAAATAGTGAACTACTAATTACTGTTCAACCCGTGACTTCGCCTACGTAAACGCGTATTATGTAGCTTCTCGTAGATGAAAGACTTTTATAAATTGGTCCATATTTTCCGAACCTATCCAATGCAAGAAAACAAGCAATCAAATCTTTATATTGTGAGTATAGAATTATTTAAAAAAATGATTTCGAGCAAATAAACAAAACCTCCTCATCTAAAACCTTCACTATGTAGAATATTTCTCTTTATAAAGATATATAATATTGTAACGTATATAATGTATATAATAGTGTTACCTTTTAAATAAAACATATCAATATCACTTCAAAGTATGCAACAAAAACTAAAAAAAAATAGAATATGTTCAAACTTTAAAAGTATTATATAATGCGTTTCTCAAAAGCTACTTATTCAACAAAAAATGCTTTTGAAGTGGGCGCTTATCATTTAATTAGTAACTTACAGATAACCTCCACCCGATTTCAATTGCATTTTTTAAAGTCGCTTATTATATAATAAGTATTATTTATTACTTTAAAGTTTGAAGTATTTTTTTTTAAGTGTATGTGTCTTTATAATGATGGTAGCCCAACGGAAGCCTTAAGTTGTTCGTGCGTCATAAAATCGATAAAATCGTCTCAATCTAGCAAATAAATATTAAAACAACTTACGTCACGTCTCTACAAAATATCGAATTATCATATTATGCCGTTATAAACTTTGTTAAATAAGTTGATGTTATAACACAATTATCTATACGAAAAGATTTGATTTTTTCCAACGAATAGGCTTCGAAAATAATGGACCAATTAAAAAAAATATTTTACTTATAGGAAGCTATATCAGACGTGGTTGACATAGTCCTTAATATACGGGCGAAGTCGTGGAAAAGCAGCTAGTATAAATCAATTAATAAATTAGTCGTACCGTGTGACTCAATCGCATCAATTATTAAAAATATATCCATCGTTACTTACTAACAAATCCTCTACTAAAACGGGAGTGCGTCAAGCATTTCTATTAACTCTTTGTTAATTTCAAGAGTATTTAATTAAGAAACTTCATTTCAGTTCCATAAAAGACTTAAGTTGTCTACCGAAACCGAAATCGAATTAAAATTAAGATAAAAGAAACAATGGAAACAATTTGAATAACTCCATAAAACAACGTTCATTATGCGACTAAGAAGTCTTCATAGAAAGTTAATGTTTAAGTAAGCCTACTGAATTGTCACAAATGAATTAATAACTTATACTCACTTTTTAATTACTTTAATGTTTCGTACACACTAAAGTTACATATAATGATAATAATGGTATGCCTTTCGTACCTCGAAAGGAAGAAACGGAACCCTTATAGGATTACTTTGTTGTCCGTACGTCCGTCTGCCCAGATCTTTTCTCAAAAACGCGTGGAGGTTTATAAATTTACATCAAATACCGAAGTCTACTGTCGATTGGAGAAAAAATCAAACTTCTAAGCTAACACAATAAAAAAAGCAATTTTTAACTACTCGCAAGGGAATCAAAACCTTTTTTATATTTCCTACAAACCTGTGTCGTAGCGAGCCCTCACTACTGAACTTTTATGCTTGTTGTCTAAACTATTTATTGTTATATTGAAGCAAAGAAAAACTTATCTTATATTTTCTTTTATCTGATTGACGGGTTACATAAATATTTTTTTACCCAGACATCATCCCTATTGCAGTCAAATTGCGTTTCCAATTCTCTAAATAACTAAGATATAGAAATGAACTTGTCATATTATAGTATTAGCTTGCCGCCAGCAGTTTTGCCCGTCTGATCCTGTTTTATACATATAAACCTTCCTCTTGAATCACTTAATATATTAATAAAAACCGCATTGAAATACGTTGTGTAATTTAAAATATATCAGTGTGCAGACAGCGTGAAGCTCTGTATTATACTTATAGAGTGATATTAATAAGCAAGGGTTAGCGTTGGAGTAAATTTACGCTGCACTTAGTATTAATCAAAATTCATATTATTAAACAGAGACTTAGCAAAGGTTAACCTAGTACGAGGTTCTACGGGAGTAATATTTAATCCTAGAATGTATGCTCTCTTTCTCTGAATAAGAATTTGAACTGATACTAAAATTGCAATTTGAGCAAAAATTTACTCTAACCCTAAACCTTGTTTATTAATAGCACAGATAGTGTATTTATACATATGTGTTAGAATAGAATAGAATAGAAAATTCTTTATTGTTAACATTACACAAAGTTATATTTACAAATTTAAAACATTTTACAATACAATGTAACAATTGGCGGCCTTATCGCTTAAAGCGATTTCTTCCAGGCAACCATGGGATGGAAAGAGAGATAACAATTTATGAAGACGGGGGTGTGTAAATGTTATCAATAACATTAAAAAGAAAAAATGTTCAAAAATATGTAGTGAATACATTCATAATACAAATATATCCGATAAATACGTAATATACATACACACATACATACAACTACATAGATAAACTTACATAAATATATATAATACTAGCTGACCCGACAGACTTCGTCCTGTCAAAAAGATTTGTAATGTGGCAGTTTTTTTGCCTACGTATTTAAAAAAATTCTCCTGAACAGAACCGTCACCCTGGTGACAGGGCGTTGTGAATAAAAAATAATTAAATAAAACATATATAAGGATTTAAAAGTAAGTAATCGCTTTATTGTTAATCATGTGAATCATAATTATTATTGCAATGTATTAATAGTAATAGTATTAAATATAGAAAAAAGAGATTTTTATGATCATAAAAACACATTACACACAACAGCATTATAAAAGTAAACTATTCGAATTAAAAAAATATATAAACATTCTCAAGGAAAAATGCTGGAAGAATCCATCTACCTGTACCCCGGAATGGGACTCGAACCCATTCGCGATCCAGGGACTGCTCTAACCAATGAGCTATCTAGGACCCAACAGCTTTGCTACTACAGAGCGTATTTTCATCAATGTTCCGGCAATACATGTAATGACGTGGAAACTGATGCATTTTATCTCGCGTGCCGAAACTAATACAAAAGAAACGCGAGTTTCGGAACGCGACATTAAACTCCTCCAACTATGTATTCTGTGCTCCAACGCACACACGCACATTGTTTTGTGATAGATATGATCTTTGACGTTAGGAACACACCTACATTGCTTAGACAACAGTGAGTGCTTGTAATTTAATATGAACTTTATACCATAGCAATAAAGCTCAAATTGACTACGTTTTAGTTACAAATCATTTGTATGGGAAAAAGAAAAGGGCTATTTTTAGGGTTTTTCCAGCAATAATTCTAATTTTTCTCGCCGTAAAAACCATCCTTGAACTTCAACGAACATTTAAAAAAAAGATTTGGCCAAATTGGTCGAGGCGTTGTTGAGTTATGCGCTTACCAACACATTTTGCGATTCATTTTTATATATATAGATATATATATATACACATATATATTATCAATACCAGGAATAGTTATACTCGGCAGTAGCAGGATATTTCATTGTGAAAGGTAGAATTCCTTAACACTATTTTTAAAAATTTGCAAAGATTTCGCTTGCCTTATCGAAACTGGAAGGGAATTCCAGAGACGAGCAGCTTGTACAGTGAAAGAAGAATCGTAAAAAGAAGTACAGTGAGATGGAATCTCAAGACTCAGGCTCTCGGATGATCGCAATGTGTAAGAATTTGTGCAGTGCAGAAAACTGAAACGTTCTTTGAGATAATGAGGGTAAGTGGGATTGAACAAAATATTGTAGAGAAGAGATAATAATCGAGAATTCCGGCGAAGTCGTATAGGAAGCCACTTGAGTTCACTGCGATAGTTGGAAACATGGTCATATTTTCTGATACAGAAGTTTTGAAGACGCTCAAGTTTATTTAGCTGGTCCTCCAAAAGATCAAGGTAGCAAGCGTCAGCGTAATCGAGAACAGGAAGCAGCAGAGATTGCGCTAACGCAACCTTAGTGGTAGTGGGCAAGAAGTTACGCAGTCTCCTCAGTAAAGCGGCAGAAGCATATAACTTGCGACTGATAGATTGAAGCTGTGGACCCCAACCCAGATGGCCATCCATTACCACCCCCAAATTTTTTACTGTTTGACTAAAAGGAATGTCAACCCCCTCAAAAACAACTTTCGGAAGTATCTGCGTATCAACTCTGGAAAGTAATCTAGAGCTACCTACTATCATGGTTTGGGTTTTAACAGGATTGACGCTAAGACCAAAAGCTCTACTCCATTCTGCAATGAGTTGGAGGTTAAAGTTAGTGTTTGCTATTGCCTCATTTAATCTAGACAGCTGTGCTTCACAGTAAATTTGGAGATCGTCTGCATAAAGGTGATAGGAACACGAAAGATTATGAGAAATAGAATTAATAAAAATTGCGAACAAGAAAGGAGATAATACGCCGCCTTGGGGTACGCCAGCTTTCGTGTCACACCATGAAGAGAAATTCTCATTAAGGCG